AAATTCGCCGAATTTTACTTCAAAAAATAAGGAAAAAGGGGAATTTGGAAATTTTCATGCTTGCAATCTCAATAAATCTTAAATTTAATCAATCTGTTGCCCATTCTTTGGCCGCGATTCACGCAATACTTTGCATTATGGCGCATAGTTTGATATGCTTCGTAGAAAATTCTGGAGCTTTGTGGAAAATTCTAGAATATTCTCGAGTTTTTGAGAATATTTTTGAGATTTCTACGAACTGTGAGGATTTTCTCGGGTTTTGTAGAAATTTCGAGGCAATCCTTTGGTTTTACAGAAAAATAGAAAAACAAATTTCCGTCGTATCTTCACGGAAAGTTCGATTTTCCTCCCCAAATGACGGGGGGAAATTGGCTTATTTCATTCCTCGGATTTCTACTGTTTTAGAAGATCCTCGGAATGACATAACCCACATTTCTCCCTTTCATTTACAGAGAAAAATCGAACTTAACCGTCCAGTTGTGGCGGAAAATGTCGTGTGCACCGAGGAAGGACAACAGGACATTCTAACCCGCGTATTGTGTGGATTACCGCCCGAGGCGAAACCGAGGGTGGTAATCCCTACGTGGGTTAGAATGTCCTGTTGTCCTCCCTTGGTGCACAATATACTATGGTGTTACAGGAAATTTGAAACAACTCATGAATTTTCTAGGAAATTCTCAGATTTTCTAGAAAATTCGAGGAAATTTTTACGTTTTCTAAAAACGCCGAGGAAATTCTTGAATTGTCAAAAAAAAATTTTTTTTGTTCCAATTGAGCAATTTAATTTCAAATTCTGATTGACTAGCTGTGTGGCCCGACTTCGCCCGGGCAGAATAGGAAAAAATTGAATACCAGAATTTTTGAGAATTACTGCAATTGAAAAAAAAATACCTCGATGTTTTCGACTTTTCTCGAACACCCGAGAAGTCAAGAAAATTTAAGTTTTCCAAAGAAATTGACGAAATTCTCGGATGTTCTAGAAAACATTGAGATGTTTTTTGTAATTGCAGGAATTCTGAAAAATCTTGGTATTCAATTTTCTTTAATTCTGTCACACAGCTAGTTAATAACTAACTGCATTCTATTAATATTTGTTACATTCGTAGAAAATCTACACGTAGGAAAAGGAAGAGGGAGAGCAGAGAAAGAGAAAGGAGCCCCCAGAGAGTTGATAAAAATTCCTGTGTTGGACTAATAATCTCTTCTCATGATGATCACTCAATTTTCTAACGAGAAAGAATTAATCGATGAAAAATTGATGATCCTCATAAGTTTCTAGATGACTCTCTGAATAAATAAAAATGGTTTTGTTGAGATGTTTATCAGCTGTTGTTAATTAATTTTTGGTGTTTAACGGTGGGAGAAAAAATTAAGTCCATTGGGGGGGAGAAGAATAACAATGGGATGATCGCTATCTGAGGAAAGTGGTCTCATATTATTTGTCGACACGGGGTATGATTCAGTCTTGTTCGTTTAATGAGTATGAATAGACTTCAGTTGAGTCGTTGAGTGTAAGGAGGAAAAATAAATTCAAAAAGCTTAAAAAAAATTATTCCTCATTGATCATTTTTCACACGAATTCTAACTTTGATGAGTGTAAGAAATTGATCCATCAAATTCTTTCTTGAATTATTTTTTTCAACAATGGTCTCTCCTTTGACTAGGGGGTTGTGACATAACACTCCATTTCGGGCACGCAGAAACGTGAATTATTAATTACAAAAGTTTGGCACTGACGATGATTTTCATTTTGAGCACAGAATTTTTATTCATTTTTTCTGATTATTCGAGATTGTTTCTAGATTTTCATCTTCTTACCTCGAAAAGTTCATTTTCTCATATGGGAGCATGGGGCAAAATGAAACAGTGGGAAAATCTCGTCATCTAAAGGAGATAGGACATTTTTGAAGAGGACCTTTTTTGTAGCTTGTAAAATTCTCTACAAAAAAGGTTTTTATGAAAATCGTCCTATCTCCCTTAGATCACAAGATTTTCTTGCTGTTTCATTTTGCCCCGTGTTTCATTTTGCCCCACCGTCCCCTAAGTCTCGGAATTATTTTTGCACTTCTAGATTAATGATTATCAATGAGGGAAAACTGACGATTGACTACAAACTGAACAGCAATGTTTCTATTCATATTAACTTTTGTTTGGAATTTATTTCCCATTTTGATGTTCAAAATTCAAGTCATGTTTATACTACTTTAATGTCTGAAAATTTTATGAGTTCTATTTCATTCTTATTTGAGCACGAGTTCAAGGGGTTAATTAAAATTATTAATTGTGTGGAATTGCAAACAAGGATGATTTTGAAACTGTTATATTTTTCAATATTACAAAAAAAATTTATGTAAAAAGTTTGACTTTGAATTTAGGCATGATTCAACAGAAATTATCGAATAAAAAAAATCTATTAAACGTCCATTTGAAAAATCTGAATTGTTTATTAGAAAAACAATAGCTTTTACGTAAGCAAATGATAACATTCACTGTCGTCATTTGATAGTCCAATCGCAAATTCCTTCCATTTAGAATTAATAATTTAATTTGAAAAACCTTTTAATTTTTAATTTTTTTAATTCATCAATAGTTTTATTGTCCACATACAACATTTCTTCCGACATAAATGAATAAAACCTCCATCGCAGGATTTTCTGGATTGATAAATCCCCTCACTTTCTCAAAAGCCGCGGAAATGAGGAAAGAAAGATCTGAAATTTACGACGGTCTGGAATTATCTTCCTCATGCATCCTCCTGAAACGCGCAGTTATCACTTCCAAACGCACGTAAACAGGTTCCGATATTCCGTCTCATCGTTGCGATGTTTATGTTCTATTTATACGCCACCTACAGAGGTAAAAGGCCCCTGGAAACAGCTGACTTGAATGTCACGCCGACGGAGACGATTCGTAGAACTAACGTTTTATATTTCGTAATTCGAATGTGTGAATCAATCAATGAAGACTTTCTCTAGATTCCCTGAATAACACCAGTATAACTGGCATTAATATATTGAAAAATTGCGATGATAACTGATATTTCTTAAATGAAAGATTGAAGTATCCGTATGAATAAATGAATGAATAAATCTATCGACACAAAACTGATGCTCTTTTATAAAATGACCAAAAATGTTTAGTAATTGACCTTTGGTTAGTGATGTGTTACGTATAAAATGACGGTAAATTGACCGCTCAGATTTGTCCGTTGCATTCCTATTTGAAACCCTTATCCGACTTTGATCCTCATTCATAGCGGATATCTGGCCCTTGAAATCCTTATGACCTCGACGCTTAAGGGTGCCAAGTGAATTTGAAAAAAGATTCAAAAAAAATTTTTTCTTTCCCTCCATCATTGGAGAATATGTATTCATCCATCCGACGAAATTTCAAACCCGCAACCGGAACTAGACATCGAGAAAATAAATGCGGAAAATCCTCTATTTCGCGTGACGAACCTCGAGAAAGCATGGGATCAAATGGGTACGGCGGGTTGAAATATCTCTCTTATTCACCCCGGTACCCCATTGTTTTTTGTCGCCATCACATTGAACACATCATTCCCCATATCTTCAAATTTTTTCAAATTTTTCTTGAGTTCCTAGGGGGTTGAAACGTTCAATTTAACCAAAACTCCATGAGAGGCCGTGTATAAGACTGATTTTCTTTATTCAATTTCTCGATATCCATAAGTTCAAAAATTTTAAAATTGTTACCGCACCTAAAAAAACCTTATCGCACTAGAAGTGCACACGGGAAGGGGGTATTGCGTGTGGACTATCACCATCTGTCTAATACTATTAATTTAAAAAATTATAACTTTGTTGGTGAATGTCAATTTTCAAGGTCATCGCCAAATTCACTTGGCAGCCTTAAGACACTTATCAGACTTCTGACCATTATCTACAAAGGACATCTGGCTTTGATCTCTATAAACGCTGAATGTTGTTGATAGAAGTTTCTGACCCTGACGACCCTTACGAGTCTGATCCTTATGACCTTTTCGCCCAAGTCTCATTTTTCATTCCGTCAAGGAAATGCCCAAGAGTATGCTCGAACTAAAATTTGGGCATACTCTTTAACTTTATTAATACACTAGATCTGTGCGCGCGCTCATCTTTTTGTTGTGAAAATGAAGAAATCGAATTTATTAAACTTCATATACTCATAGATGTTTTATAAATATTGATAATGACTTAAAGAGAATTAAGAGAATGAAAAGAATGAAGAGTGAAGCATCAATGAATAATTTTTAATCTTCCATTAATTCTTTTTTTTTACTTTTTAAAATAATCTGATTAAAATCTGTAATTGTCGAAAAATCAGGGGAGGGTTATGAATTGATTTCCTGGAGAACTGAACAAATTTCTTGAATTCTTCGGAAAATTTCACAGTTTTCCAGATAACCGTAGATCACAGATTTTTCTCGATCTGTTCTCTCGAATATTATTATTTGGGAAACCGAAGAATTTTCGTGAATTTTGTAGAGTTTAGAATTTATGTATGAAAATCTGAGAAGCAAGAATTGATCATTTTGGCGTGTGATAAATATGAAAAAATTAAAATTTGGGAAGTGAAGAATAATTTGTGAGTTAAAAAAATTTAGAAATACTATGTTTTTTTTCTCATGATCAACAATTAGGCAATTTAGATATGTTTTGATATAAAGATCAACTTCACACATGAAAAAATGAAAAATATGACGCAGAAAAAATTGTTGGCATTTGAAGAATTTGAAAATACCAGGTTTTTTTTCAGCGACTACTTCACGTGACTCATTGACCAATCAGAATTGAGGATTAGCGGTCAGGCAGTTTCGAAATATTTCGATATAAAACAGCTTCACGTTTCTTTCATCTCTAGTAAATAGGATTTTTTGTATTTCTTCAATTTCTCGTTCAAATTTTTTCATTTACTCATTGTTGACATCTGTAACCACTGTAAACACAGGTGTCGTTGAATAACAACATGATTAATAAAATAAATTAATATAGACTTACATAAAAGGACAGCAGCTCATGTAGTTTTCTTGATTTCTTCCCTATCACCGAAACTGCATCCGAATAACTCCCACTTCAGATGGATAAACTCACGTCTTGATTAAATATTTCGTCTCCAGAGATTCCCCGTTCTTCTCTTTTCCGTTGTCTCCTCTTCGGGTTACATTTCACAGTCTTCTTTGTTGTCGAGGGGGATTCTTATCGTATAAAGAACTGTAGAGTCTCTCAGGTACTATATTGATTCAACACACGTATCTCAAGAAGGCCAGGTGTTCTTATGCAGGTGGTGAGAACTTCAAAACACCGGCACCACTTATTTAAGCTTACTAAAATTGTAATTTATCTGTTCATAACAATGAATAGTTCTCTTTGTTTGAGGGAAGGGATTCTTGAGGATGTCATGGATAACATAACTCATGTGTGAAAATTTGAATAGAAAACGTTGGCCTTTCGCTTAAAACTCGTTTAGTGAAATTTTCACGAAGATTGCGTACAAGTGCGTAAAAAACACTTTTCCGCACGCACGCGTAACACATCCTATTTTTTGTGATACAAGAACTATGCGCGCGCTCTCGCGCGCGCTGATCTATTCGTTTGTTGAAATGAAGAAATGAAATTCATTGAATTTCATTCTCTCATGAATACCTTATAAATATTGATAATGAATCAAAGAGAATTCGACTAATGATTGAAGTGAATAGCGAAGTAGAGTAAAAGAATTCTATAAAGAATTTTTCATTTTCAATTAATTATCTTCAATTTTTTAACATAATCGGTCTCCATAAAAGGACAGAATTTATCAATTTCACCGATGATATATATACATGTGAAGTATATATATATATTATCCCGCTTCGGGGGAGGAAAATCTGCCTTTCTGACTACGCCGTGGCGAAAAATAACGTTTTCTGTACTGCTTCTCACGATTTCTCGTCTGGGAATTGGTATTACATACTTCCCAAACTCGAAAACTTGAAAATCACTACAGAAAAATATTGTTCCTGGGCTGTTGCGATGGGGTTTTTTACTCGTGTGGTTGGCCAGTCCTCGCCTACGGTTCGGAGGCCAACGCCACACGAGTAAAAAAAAACCATCGCAACAGGCCGGAAATAGTATATTTCGTAACGAGTGCAAAAAAGTGTTTTTTGGCGAGTGGGAGGTTTAGATCACGAGCCGAAGGCGAGTGATATATTCCCACGAGCTAAAAAACGGGAATATCCGTTCTTCTTCGAATGAATTGTGGCAACGGCGCGCTCAGATTTATATAACGTCACAGCACCGTGATGCGAGTTACAACGTCGGGCAGTTTCACGCGAGTAACGAAGGGTTAAAAACGCAAAATTAAATGAACCTATGGCATAAAAGCATATTCGGACCCCTGAGACCAAAATTAGTATTCTAATCCGAAAAATTGGAATTTGGAGATTAAAATGTTTTCATTGGAAAGCAAAAACTAAATTTCAAGATTTTCTCTTGGGATCCCTATGACATCCTCAAACGCTGAACATTTCCGAGGCATGCGCAGCCGAAATAGGGTCAACTCTTCGTATATAAACACTTGACTCGTATTCGTAAGGACTCCACTTACGAAGAAATTCGTTATATTATCCAACTTATCCAGTTTGAGCCGAACAGTTTCAAGTTTTGTATTTTATTCACTTCAGATTCACTTCAGATTCGCACGAGTCAGCTAAAGGGCTGCCTGCGGTTGTCAGTGGACTTTTAGGGGCTTTATTTTGATTTCCGAGAGAGTCATGATTTTGTGGAATAGAGCGAATCGCGGCCATTGGAGAACTGAGGGTTGCGCGAGCATCCCTCAACGATATGTGTGATGTTTTCGGTTGGTGGTCGCGAGGGGTGGGATTCGCAGTGAAGTATAAGGGTAGGGGGAGGGCTCGATGGAGGGGATGGGGTAGGTCAGGGCGACCTTTGTTTTGAAAATCTAGGGATTAAGGTTTTACGGTCAATGAACCCTTCTGCAGCTTCTCCATTGTTTTCTATTTTAAGGTCAGTGTGGGTGACTCTTTGATCTGAAGATAACACGCATAACGAAGTTCGACAGACAACCCTTGCGTGTTCCCTGAAGGCTCTGTTGCAATTTTTATTCGTTTTTCATCACGCTGTGACGAAAAGTGAACTTTTCGAAGTCCAATTTCCGCCACATTGTGATGAAAAATATTGTTCGTAACTCGTGAAAAAATGTTTTTTAGCACTCGTTACGAAATATACTATTTTATGCCGATTTTTCGGAATTCGCGATTGTAAAATTCAACGAGTGCGAAATGCTGGAATTCAGCGATTTTTTCAACACAATTTTCAGTGACATTATCACTATTTTCGAGTGAATGTCCTCACTAATTCTCAATGAAATGTCATTGATTTTCAGGGACTCATCTGTAATTAGAGATGCAAAATGACCGTCATTTTTTAGATCGCGTCATATGACCAAAAAATGACGGTCATGTGTTTCTTTCATCTTTAGTAAAATAGGATCAAAAGTCGAGGTGAACCCTACAAGTAACCCAACGATGTTACGGTATTATTTTATTAAATTAGTTAATTGCCGAGAACATTCCGGTTGATTAATTAATCATCATCGTCTTCAAAGTCAACGTCATCATGTTCACTTATCGTTTCGTTGATCCAATCGATGTAGCTGTATACTCTTGTGAAGACATCCGGTTTGCCTTTGGCGCAGGGGGTTCCCCACGAGACAACACCGATTTGGACCCCATCAGCTACTAGAGGACCACCAGAGTCGCCCTAAAAAGTGAATAAATTATGGATGAATAGGAACGCTGTTGCATTTTAATGAGTATAGTTAAACATTTATCGATGTAAGGTGCAAATACTTGTAATATTGAAGAAATATAATATTGATGGCCATCTCTGATGGACCGATCGAGCTGAAATTGCGCCTAGAAATGCTCCAAAGTAGAGGAGGTTGGGGTAAAACGGACACTATTGACTTTTTTAAAATCTCAATGAGGGGTTGAAATGTTGATAAAATTTAATAATATTTTTTTCAATACAAAGAACAATTCTTTTCCTTTGTGACGAGCCTAAACTGAGCTCAATTGATCAATTTGTTTCTGAGTTATGAATAATCTCAAAAAAGTCTAAAGTTTCCGTTTTACCCCACCCTTCCCTAATACCAATTATGTGACGAAATTTCCGATTTTTAGCTTCAACTTTAATCCTTTTTCTGTGAAACTTTATACAAATTTCCGGATATACATGCACACGTTTTCTAAAAACATCATATCTTCATGTTTCATGAGAAACGAAAATACGAACATGAATAATTCAGTAGCGAAGCGGTAAACCGGGTTAAGTCGATTTTGACTTTTGGCCAGTTTTTGACAAATATCTCGGAATCTAAGAGAGATAGCAAAATTTTGCTCACCACCTTTTTTATAACCCTCAGTTGGCTCTACAAAAAAGGTCGTGACAAAAAAATTTCTATCTCTTTTAGATTCCGAGATATTCGTCAAAAACTGGCCAATAGTCAGAATCGACTTGACCCGGTTTACCGCTTCGCTACTGAATTAGAAGATCGTCAAAACCAATGATTAGAAAGCTTCCATTCAAAAGCCAAAGTTCAGTAGTGAAGCTTTAAAACGATTCAAGTGGACTTGGCTCTTAACTGACTTCTGGATAAACATTTTCGAATTTAAGAGGGATAGCGAAATTTTCATGTTAACCTTTTTTGTAGCTCTCAATTCGCTCTACAATCACCAAGATATTTATTGAAAACTGACCAATAGTTCAAATTGACTTGAACCGTTTTACCGCTTCGCTATGGAATTTGATTGACTTAAATAACTTTGTATTGACGGACAATGGGTGACAATTACATCAGGATTAGTTGATTTTACGGTCAAATACACTCACGTGACAAGCACCCTCTCCCTTCCCATTGAGTGTGCAGAGATTTTTTTTCGTGATACGCATCAGGGAAGCATTTCTGCATTCGCGTTGATCAATCACTGTCAGTGTTATGTGTTGAAGATCGTTGGGTGTCTTTCCTGGGTACTAAAACAATATAATTAACATAATTTTTGTCACTGTGGTAGTGAAAACGTCTACTGAGCATATACACGTACGAAAAAAATTCAAAGAAAGATCTAGTGAATTCGATTGAGTTTTTATTGAATTTTCTATGAGGAGAATAGAAAATATTGTATTGAAAAAATTAACACATTTTATCATCTTTCTATTGATGTTTTCTAGAAAAATTCCTCAACTTGAATTTTCTAAGGTTTTTTGATTGATTTTTTTCTAATGAAAAGAGCGGAAAAATAAAGTCCAAACAAACTGAGAATTCATGTCGAGGAATTCCAATGAAAAAAATTTATCAATAGAAGAAGTTGTTTAGACACACGAAATTCCACCAATTTTTATTTTCTATAAAATAGGTCCTATTTGACATCTGCGCAAAAACTAATAGAATTCTCAATAGAAATGAAATCGATTTATCTTTCGTATTCGCTAGATTTTTCTACGAATTTTCTTCGCGCGTGCAGGATTGACAATGATAAAAAATACGTTAGTCAAATGGGAGACCATTATTAAATTTTTTTGTTTAATTTAAAGGATTCATTTTTTACCCTCATCAAAGTTAGAATTCATATGAAAAATAATTAATGTAAAGCCCTAAATAGTATATTGTGTTGCAATTCGACAACACAATTCGATATTTCTCCACAACTTATTCTATTGAGATATTTGCTGTAGAATTTCCGTGGCTCAAAATCTCATAGTTTTTTAAATTCTACTCTTCAATTTTTTCAAGGCAATCAGACAAAAAAACTTGGCAAATTGGAGCCGAGGAAATGCTACAGAAAATATTCCAATAGAATAAGTTGTGTAGAAAAATCTAATTCTATTGACTTTATCTACAGAATATTTCCAGTGAAAAGTCCAATAGAAATCCAATAGAATTGTCTTGCGAATTCGCGATATTTTTCGATGATTTTTTTTCATGCGAATGGTTACCCTTACCGACTCAGCTGAAATATGTTCATATTACTTCAGGACAAATGTCGATTATCTAATGCCAGTAGTAAAAATTCTACGAGTACTCACGCTCGTGGTTCCCCAACCAGAAAGAACAGCCGGGTAATCGCTCTTATCAAAGTACTCCGTGGGAAGTGGAATGGGTTTGACGTAGTCTGAGAATTCGATGTCTTGGTCTACGTGAATGAGTCCAATGTCATTCCTCACGAATAACGAACTGTATCCCTGGTGTCCGTGCACCTCGGATGAGTGATATATATCACCGCCTTCGTCCAATTTCGTTGTTCCCACGACTACAGTTATTGCTGAATCGTTGAATCTTCAAGAATAATTTCACTTCGAGTTTGTAATTTTCCTTGCGTTTTTTTTAATCGAATGAATTTACTTTTATTTATTTGTATTTGTTGGAGTTCACATTCCATGATTACAAAAATTAATTTTATATTTCACAGTAGGGGACGTTGGGGTAAAACGGACACTTTTGACTTTTTTTCAAATGTTAATGAGGGGTTGAAATGTTGATGAAATTTAATATTTTTTTTTTCAATACAAAGAACAATTATTTCCCTTTGTGACGAGCCTAAACTGAGCTCAATTGATAAAATTGTTTCTGAGTTATGAATAATTTTAAAAAAGTCTAAAGTGTTCATTTTACCCCACCCTCCCCTATGTTTATATTATTATAAGAGAACATTTTTCTGATCTGAAATTCTGAGAAGAGCGTGGACGAATGTTTGAGCATTTGGTTTTTCAGTCTAAACATCTGTAAATGAATAAGAGACCTTTGTGGGTCTATGTCGCCAGGGTTTCAGACCTCTGGGATCTTTGTTTCTTTAGTTAGTCCATCTGAGGAGCTCAAAGCGTGTGGATGTGTCTTCCTCGTAAATAATTTCAAATAAAGAAAAGTTTCAACTCAACCGGATTGATTTTTATTAAAAATCACCCATTTCCAATAGTATTTATTTATTTTATTGCCTTCGAGTCCTCCCTCACAGCAGGGGGGGGGGGAGATGATTACAACAATATACGTATTTACAAATAGATAATCAAAAATAAAATACGAAAATGAGCACACGTAGTTTCGAGAATAGAAGAAAAAGCAGAGGATAAGAAGGAAATGAAATTATTTATTTATTTTCAACGGAATTCGTCGCAAGAAACTCGCGACTGGCCATCGCCCGAGGGCCTTCAGCCCTCGCAATTTTTTTTTCCCTCGCGACGGAAATTTGAGGATCTCGTTTATCGAAGAAATATTGATTAAAAAATCTGAAATAATTCTACAATATAGTTTAGTCCTTCCTTCAACGCCTCTCACACGATTTTCTATTTTTTATCTCCCACACATAAGGGTCCCCATACAGAAACCTCTCCTAAGAACGGAAAATACTAGGAAATCCTCCCATGATTGTACTTACCCTCGTAAACAATGAGCAGCCGTAAGAATCCATCGTTTATTGATGATGGACCCTCCACAGAAATGCCTCCCCTTGACGCGCAACGAAACTTGATACGGAAATTGCCCCTCGCTAGCAGGATATCCTCCCACAATTTTCGGTCTAGGGTTTTCTTCTTCGCCTGAAAGAAACACGTGGGAAATTAATTTCGTCAATATAACACGCGAATATATATCACACGCGGAGCGTGCGTAAGATTGCACTTTACGCACAAGCGATGAAATAGTATATTTCGTAACGAGTGCAAAAAAGTGTTTTTTGGCGAGTGGGAGGTTTATATCACGAGCCGAAGGCGAGTGATATAATCCCACGAGCTAAAAAACATTTTTTCACGAGTTACGAACAATATTTTTCATCACAATGTGGCGGAAATTGGACTTTTAGGCACGCGGAGTGTGCCGAAAAGTTCACTTTTCGTCACAGCGTGATGAAAATAGTATATTCGACCTCCTGCTAAGCCAAATTAATTATCCTGACCCAAAAAATTGAAAATTTCGTATTCGACGCATACAATGCTTCCATTCGGAAGCAAAAGTGGAACAATTACGAACAGATCAAATTGTCAACAGTAGTGATGCCGTCGAGACTACACGATAAATTCCTTGGATAGATCATCACTGTCTGAAAAAACATCAAAAGTTTTGGAATCGTTGCAGTCTCGAAAGACATTGGGTTGGTGTATCTCGTTACGATTTTTTGAGCAGTTATTTTGTCTAGGTCACGACTTTTTGGTTTTTTTCTTTTTTTATTTCGCCGATATATCGCCGATATTAAAAAAGAAAAAAACGCCGATATATCGGCGATATTAAAAAAGAAAAAAACGACGATATATCGCCGATATATCGGCGATATTAAAAAAGAAAAAACGCCGATATATCACCGATATATCGGCGATATTAAAAAAGAAAAAAACGCCGATATATCGCCGGTATATCGGCGATATTAAAAAAGAAAAAACCGAAAAAGTCGAGACCCAGGCAAGATAACTTCTCCCAAAATGGTGACGAGATGCACCGATCCCATGTTTTTCGAGATGGCGACGATTTAAAAACTTTCAATGTTTTTTCTGACCGTAATGATCTATCCAAAAATTTTATCGTATAATCTCGACGGCATCACGACTCAACAGCAAATAATGTAAATCCAAAACATAAAACACTCAATTACATTTTATCCACTCGAATAAACAGAACACAACGAACAACAGCACAAGACTGCGTGGCTTCCACATTCCGCAAAACATGACAAACCAAATAACAGATTAAATGCACAATAGTTTCTTTATATACCCTCCGATTACACCCAGAGGGACAAAAGGAAAAGCCAAAATGAAATACAGAAAAGATGTACCGCCCACTGACAATATATTTAAATTTAGGGTCAGATTACGGTGATTAGTAGATTAACACTGGTGTTACAAATGAACAATAACTTTTAGAATGTATCTCGCATGGAAGATTACGATAGACTGAAAAACCTGTCTGCAATAAATAAGTGAAGGGATTGGGGGACCCCGGGGTCTCCTTGTTCCCTACATTTGTTGTTAATGGCTTTTTTTGTCCACCGGAAGTTTAATTGTTTTCAACCGCACGTGCACGTGCGTCTAATGTGAAAGCAATGGCATTTCGGTGAACTCAACCTGTCGCTCTGATATTTGGGACGGGGAGATTATTGCAAGTGTGGGGAAATTTTCTTTCTCGTTTTTTCAGGCGTTGGGCATTCTTGCGGTTCAAGGCACGAGTGGGGAAATAACGGTGGAGATATATCTGGTGAAGTTGATTTTTTTGTTTTGCTGGAGTATTGACTAAATGTTTGATTGATATTGATGGAAATTTGAATGACAGTCTTGAGCTTTCACCAATAAGTTGTTCAATCACGGTATTACTTTGCACAGATTTTTCTTGAATTTTTAATCTCAGTTCGATAGTACAAACGGTTGCTAAGATCGGCGGTTATCCGAAATTTGTCAATAATAAATCAGTAATTCATTGAATCGAAATTTCGTTTGCACCATTCGACAAAGGAATGTATAGAGTATGTTCGGGAAAAATTTCAGAATTTTCTGTGAAAATTAGCTCGATAAAAGAGAGGTTTGAATATACATCTGACATGGAATTCCGTTCTGTATTCTTTATGTATTGCAGAAATATTAAAAATAATTTTATCTGTTTCATGGGGGAATTTTTAGAATTTCGATATCTACAATAGTACGAAAGATAATGAATTTTTATTTATCACGGAAAGGGTCTATATCACATATAGACGCCGGCCGGAAGGACAAGCTCTCACGTCTATATGTGGCATGGGCACCGTACTTGAGGGATTAATAATCATAATAATAGGAGTCTGAGAGTCAAATGAAAAAACATGCATTAAAATTAATTTTCATATTCCATTTATTATTTTCCAAAAGGCGGCAACTTCGTTGAATCCACACTGCGTCGTTCGTATTACATGCCACATTCATAACTATCACCTCCAGTTTCACATAAAAAATTACATATTCATTTTAAAAAATACACCAAGTCCCTAGAATAATTTTCAATCTACATACAATTTTCTTTATACCGTCATAATCAAAGAATACACCAAAGTATTCACTGCTCTCTGTACACTTACTGGTGTTTCAATGATGAATTTGATTCAAACTCATGTAGAAATCATCAACAGCTTATTATGCTCTTTTCGATAACTTAATTCGATTGATTCAGTAGTCAAGTGATAATCGACTTCAATATTTTTTAGTCTTGTTAATTCATCTCTGAAGCAACTGATTGTTTCGTAAGAAAATAAAGAGGAAATTTTCAAAAATTCAAAAGATCAGAATTTTTTCCTCAACTTTTTCAAACAGAATCGCGTGATAATCGACTTCAACATTTTTTAGTCTTGTTAATTCATCTCTGAAGCAACTGATTGATTCGTAAGAAAATAAAGAGGAAATTTTCAAAAATTCAAAAGATCAGAATTTTTTCCTTAACTTTTTCAAACAAAATCGCGTGATAATCGACTTCAACATTTTTTAGTCTTGTTAATTCATCTCTGAAACAACTGTTTCGTAAGAAAATAAAGAGGAAATTTTCAAAAATTCAAAAGATCAGAATTTTTTCCTCAATTTTTTCAAACAGAATCGCTGATAATCGACTTCAACAGTTTTTAGTCTTGTTAATTCATCTCTGAAACAATTGTTTCGTAAGAAAATAAAGAGGAAATTTTCAAAAATTCAAAAGATCAGAATTTTTTCCTCAATTTTTTCAAACAGAATCACGTGATAATCGACTTTAACATTTTTTAGTCTTGTCAATTAATTTCTGATGAAGTAACTGATTTTTTCGTAAGAAAATGGAGAGGAACTGTTCAAAATTCAAAAGATGAGAAATTTTTCCTCAACTTTTCTAAACAGAATCATTTGCTCTCGAGATGAAACAATTGATTTCGTTTCGGTTTTATCACTCCACTGCTTCGTTCGTCTTAGAGTAGTTATGGCTCAATAAAAACATTTATGGCAATGATTGTACGAAGTATTTTCGACTATCTGTTGATAACGTCATCACGCCCTCGGAGTCTTCTCATTAGCACCATATCACGTTGCATCAGGGTTACTCGTTTACAGTGGAATGCGAGAAGTATTGAGTCCTCGAAGAATTGTACGAGGTAGGTTTCAGTTGCTTCTTGAAGTGCTTCCAGTGCTGTTGCCTGCATTCTTCAATCAATGTTAAATATTTAGAGAGTTTAAAAAATCGTTTTGATCGATGCTCAAAGTAGAACTCGAGTTGAGTCGTTGAGTGTAACGAGGAGAAATGAATTCGAAAAGATCAAAAAGAAATTATTTATTAGAAAAGTGTGACACTGACGATTATTTTCATATTGAGCGTAGAATTTTTATTGATTTTATCGGATTTTTTCAGATTTTTTCAGATTTTTTCTAGATTCCAATCTTTTTTTCAATCTCGAAAAGTTCATTTTTTCATAAGACTGGGCGTTACTTTTGCACGTTTAAATGCATTATTATCAATAACTAACACATATGATCCCCATATGACCTCCATGGTCCTTAATCTGACCCACGTGACCCTTATTTTGACCCTTAATTTTGGAGTCTTAATTTCGAGTACCAAATTTTCATCACCACAAGCCGATTTGGATTTTTGTAATGTAGAGAAATATATACTCTTAGTTTGACCCTTAGTTTCTGACCCCACGATGAATTCTATATGGAATTTCCCATGCACTGAGATTCTTATAGTTTAAACGATCAATTTCGATGCTTTCTCCATAAAAAAAATGTATGAGGTATTCGCATTATGGAGATTATTGTTAGGAGATTGAAATTCCTCAGGAAGAGGATTTGAAACTGTTGGGGATGATTTACCTGTCAATGTTCTTCCTCGGGAAGAGATCACGAATGATCTCTCTAACGAGCCTCGAAAACGGTAGTTTTGGTATGAGTAACTTTGTCGATCTCCTGAGTTGTCTTATCTCCTGCAGCGCTCTGACACCCGGCTTCACTTTGCGTTTGCGATTCACCAGCGTTTTCGTCTGTGAACAATAAATTCAAACCCAATTTATTTAGGCGTCAGAATGGAGGCGTTGTTTTTCTCAGATAAATTCTGATAAAAAATTCTATTTGTTTTTTGCGCTGACTCTATTAGATATTCGATAAGAAAAAATCAATAGATTTCGAATTTCTGGTCAAATTTTTCTCTTGGAATTTTTGCTATCAGAAATTATTGGGCACAAATTTTCAAGTTTTTTCCGCTCGATTTTGTTTTATTTGCATTACAGAATGTGAGTGGAAAAACTTAGAAAATTGATGCCCAAGCATTCTTATAGAAAAAATCTCAAGAGAAAATTTCAAACAGAAATTCGAAATCTATTGACTTTTTCTTAGCGAATATCCAATAGAATTAGCGCAAAACAAACAGAATTTTCCAATAGAATTCCATAAAATTTTCTAATGAATTCGCTAGGTTTTCTATTGAATTTTTTCATGCGTGAATCCAATTACACGTTGGCATTGTGAATTCCATATTGTATAATTCAAACTTGTAAACGTTAAATTTGTGGTGGCAAATGCGACAAGTAGGTATAAGTTGAGCGTGTGAAATTCTAGAAAAACAAAATCCACCAATCCAGGCCTGAGTTTTACAGATTTTGTATATTTCTTGAATTTCATACTTGAATTATGGGGGAGTAGGGTGAAATGGACGCTTGTTTTTTTTCAATTTTAACGTGTCATTGAATTTTTAATGAAAATAAGTAATTTAACAAATTAGAAAATTTAAATTAAAAAAAAAGTAATTGTGAATAAAGTTCGAATAAATTTTACAATGTACAATTCAGATTACCCAATTTGTAATTGAATTGGTACTTTTCAATTAAAATTCATATATTACAACTCATTCCACTATTTTAATTCAACTATTCTAATAATAACTTGGAAATAGGAATATTTTTTTAAACATCTTTTTCAATATAAATGTTATTAATTATTGGATTATTTTAGTATTAAAGGAGTGAATTGTGAAAAAAGGGACTCTTTTTGTCGAAATAAAAAAAAAAATTTCCCATGCCAAAAAAAATCCCTCTTAAAAATGTGAATTATTTAAAAATCCAAAAATTGAATTGAAAATAACTAGATCAATGCCAAGTACCTTGGATTTCCCCTTATTCGGAGATTTCGACTTCGTCCCCGACTTCCTGCAACAAATCAACCAATTTCCCGTCACGTCGCCGCAGAAACATTCCGAAATCAACAGTTGGGTCTCCCATAACCTACTCACCTCGCCTCTGCCTTTCTCCTCACCATTTCCACAATTTTTGAATGAAAAAAAAAGTTATAAAATGTTCATATAATCACAGAGTCTCCAGCCTCTCTCTTCACACAATAAATTTAGTTTTTATCGCATGAAGAGTGAATCGGAGCATCAATTACTTATATCCCAATCTTCACAACATTTTGCTATTTGCTGATGTAAACAAACAGCACTGCCCGCCAATTCTCGTCAGGGTGTCCAACTCTCAGTTCTGCCAATTTTTTACATTCGTCGCTCACTTCGGGACAGTAGAGGTCTAACTTTTTTTGAATCATCAAAAAGTTGTTTTTTTCATCTGTTGAAATCGGGGGGAAAGTTGCAAATAAGTTGGATAATCTCACTGAGAAAACTGTGAACAATGATTTCTGTAATAAATTGATTGGATATTTGATATAAAAAGTCAATATATTTTAAATTTCTGTTCGAATTTTTCTCTTGAAATTTTCTCTATTAGAATTATTGGGCACAATTTTTCTAAGTTTTTTTCCGCTGGATTTTATTTTGTTTTGCATTGCCGAATCCGAGTGGAAAAGCTTAGAAAACTGACGCTCAAGCATTCTCATAAAAAAAATCTCCCAAACTACTGGTTCGATTAATTCTTTTCACAAAATCCTCGTCTGGTTTTTTCTTTTCATTTCATCAAGAAAATCAAACGAATTTTTCTCTTGAAATTTTCTCTATTAGAATTATTGGGCACAATTTTTCTAAGTTTTTTCCGCTGGATTAACGAATTTTTTGCATTGCAGAATCCGAGTGGAAAAACTTAGAAAATTGACGCTAAAGCATTCTTATAAAAAAAATCTCCCAAACTAATGGTTCGATTAATTCTCGTCACAAAATCCTCGTCTTGTTTTTTCTTTTCATTTCATCAAGAAAATCAAACGAATTTTTCTCTTGAAATTTTTCTCTTGAAATTTTCTCTATGAGAATTATTGGGCACAATTTTTTCCGCTGGATTTTATTTTGTTTTGCATTGCAGAATGCGAGTGGAAAAACTTAGAAAATTGACGCTCAAGCATTCTTATAAAAAAAATTTCCCAAACTACTGGTTCGATTAATTCTTGTCACAAAATCCTCGTCTTGTTTTTTCTTTTCATTTCATCAAGAAAATCAAACGAATTTTTCTCTTGAAATTTTTCTCTTGAAATTTTCTCTATGAGAATTATTGGGCACAATTTTTTCCGCTGGATTTTATTTTGTTTTGCATTGCAGAATCCGAGTGGAAAAGCTTAGAAAACTGACGCTCAAGCATTCTCATAAAAAAATCTCCCAAACTACTGGTTCGATTAATTCTTGTCACAAAATCCTCGTCTTGTTTTTTCTTTTCATTTCATCAAGAAAATCAAACAAAAAAACTTAGAAAATTTGAGCCGAGGAAATTGGACAGAAAATATCTCAATAGAATAAGTTGTATTAAAAAATCTAATTCTATTGCCCTTTTGTATCTTTCTTGAACATTTCAATAGAATCTGCTAAAAACTAATCGAAACTTCCTGGAGAATTTGCTAGATTTTTCTATGAAATGTTTTCACACGTGTGCTGCTGTCATTGACAGTCTCCAACACAACTGTTTCTGGACGGAAACTGGACTCATGTGTCACCGTGAGACTGCTTAGCTAAGACAGATTTCAATTTTGCTTATACTAAAAATTCCTTTAGAAAATGAAATGTCCATAATATTCTCAACTGATAATTAGTCGACGTGAGGAAAGTCTCCTCACGTCACAAGTGCAAGATTAATTTTGTCAATCAATAGTCATCACTAAACTCAATGGACTTTTTTCCGTGCTATTTTTCCACTTTCAAAATGTTTTTTCACATTTTTTCGTAACAAATTTCGATAAACACCTGTTGTATAACACAAATTCATCAAAAATCAATTCTCCAAACTCCCTTCTCCCAATAAAAGTCCCTAAAAAATCAATCGATATCAATTGTTCAAGTCTTTATTATTGATCCTTCATAATATTTACATATTCCATCGATAACTATTGCTTCACAATAATACAAAAGAAACCCCAGTGGTATATAAACTCTTTACAGTAGAAAATGAAAAAGAAAATTACCAATAACCGTCATCTTTCCGCGCCCTAACGATATCTTCCCCTCCCTTCTGATAAGTAAACTGATAAAACCAAAAGACAAAAATGATGAGAACAATAGAACAATCGCTCATCGAAATTGATTGATAATTTAATAAATTGCCTCGTGGATTTATAAATCCGAATCCTACGTCCTTAATTTACGATGAAAATATGGAATTCAATATACAACAGTCACTCTCTGTATTCAAGTCATCTTTGTTCAAACTGATTGATTAAAAGTTGTATAATCTTTACAACGGCTAATGCCGAGAGGGCATTCGTTCACTTTTGATTATTACAATAAATTACACGGTGTGAGGGGTGGTTGGAGGAACGTAATTATGAAAACTGTGGACTACGAGCCGAATGCAGATTGTGTGGACGACGAAGGGGCCGGGAAGATGGCCTGAGACGTCCCGGCGAATGATTTACCCGGTGGTTGATTCATTATCGGGGTGTTGTAGGTTTCCAGTCCGTATCGGGACATGAGGGCGGACAGGGCAGTTTTAATGCCTATGGTCGCTAGCTGGGACCATCTTCCACCGCAACTCACTGCGTCGTCACCTGCATACACTGCGTGGGCATCGAATGTTGTTTTGCCACTTAGAGGGTCTGGAAAATTCCATTTTGTGATAATGTGAGAATTAAACATCAGGGAAAAAGATGAATTAGCATAATTCAGGAGAAATTTAGTAGCGAAGCGGTAAACCGGGTCAAGTCGTTTTTTACTTATGGCGGGTTTTTGAGGAATATCTCGGAATCTGAGGGAGATAACAACATTTTTATCACGACCTTTTTCGTAACCCTCAATTGGCTCTACAAAAAAGGTCATAACAAAAAATTTTCTATCTCTTTTAGATTCGGAGATATTCAACAAAAACTGGCTAATAGTCAAAATCGACTTATCCCGGTTTACCGCTTCGCTACTGAATTTTGTTTTCGGTTTTGAGTGAAGGTCAAAACACCTTGAAAAGGTGTAGCTGAAAGGTCAAATGACCCTTAACGTTCTTAAGGGTTGTTCAACCCTCACAATCATTCGGCTCTAGACCCCAAACGTCCTTAAGGGCTGTTTGACCCTCAACTCTAAATATCCCCAAGGATTGTTTGACCCTCAAGACCCTCACTCCAAATATCCTCAAGGGAAAATGACTAGCACAATTCGGGAGAAATCTTGTTTTTGTTTCAGAATAAGAGTAAAATTGTCTTTCAGGGGCAAACGGGTGGGGTAAGGGTCTAATAACTTGAAACGTTCTTAAGAACTGTTTAATCCCCAAGACCATTTCACTCCGAACTCTAAACGTCCTTAAGGGTTGTTTAACCCATAAGATCCTTTAATTCAAGTCCGAATGTCCTTGAATGTCGTTTGACCCTCAAAATAAATTGATTCTCAAATCTAAACATCGTTAAGAGTCGTTCGACCCTAAAAATAACTTGATCTTCAACTCTGAACGTCCTTGAGAGTGTTCAACACTCAAGATCACTTGACCCACAACACAAAAAGTCCTTGGGAATCATGTCACTCTCAAAAAAATTCAACCCTCAACTAAAAACAAAAAAATTCATAAACTAAGTCTAACTAGTCGTTTGTCTTAATATCTCGATTTGCTGCAATCTCCCCTGCGTTTCTGAGGTATTGTAAATAATCCATCGTTAATTTTCTTTGTTGATTTTTGCTAATCAATGAAGTCAAATTGAATCAGAATTCACTCAATGAAAATTCAAAAATATTTTCAAAACGTTTTTTTTTTTCATTTCAATAAATTTCTTCTGGGGATTCTCTTGCGATTAATCGCCGAATAATTTTATCTATTATTTTTTATGAAAATAAAATTACCAGGTTGAGGAGGATTGAGCACTGGCAAATGAGCCTCAAGTTGTCCAGTTGGCCTTGAATTTGCTGCTAGACGTAGTTCCGTGTGTAGCTCCTCCAATAATTGCACGGCTTTTGGATCACTCTGAAAACAAAATCAAATAATCAAATCATTTCAAGAGATCATGTAGAAAAACTAATGATTTGCGAATTAGAATCTTTTAGGAGATTTTCATTTATCATGAAATCATAATGCTTCTCGCAGTATTGGAAGATGTTATAATCATTATTAATTGTGTATGAGAGCAATTCAGTAGCGAAGCGGTAAACCGGGTTAAATCGATTTTGACTATTGGCCAGTTTTTGACGAATTTCTGGGAATCTAAAAGGGATAGAAAAATTTTTGTCATGACCTTTTTTGTAGAGCCAACTGAGGGTTATAAAAAAGGTGATGAGCAAAATTTTGCTATCTCTCTTAAATTCCGAGATATTTGTCAAAAAATGCCCAAAAGTCAAAATCGACTTGACCCGGTTTACCGCTTCGCTACTGAATTTAAAAAATACTTTTCAAATACTTTAGAAATGCTTTAAAAAATGCTTTAAATTTCATCATTTGACCACTGAAAAAATCATAGCTTGACGTTTCATGAAATTTCACGTCATTTCCACGTAAAATTAGAAGATCGTCAAAATTATCGATTACAAAGCTCCCATTCGAAAGCAATAATTACCTCATTGTCCAACCGAAGGGACATGAGATCATCAACCCTGATAGGTTTTCCCTGACTCAAAGCGCCAGTGAGATGACTCAATTTCCTCGCAAGACTGTCCTCAGTATTCAAATCCATTCCCTGCACGTCTCCACCCTCGCACCGCTGGTTAGTCCTCGCTTTCAAGGGACTATTGTAGTAATAAGTCCCTGGTGACACACTGTACGTGTTTCCCTCGAGCATTCCATCATTGCTCTCAAAATTTGGCCCATGGGAGGTGAACCCTGCCTCCATTTTCAGTCTTTTCGATGATCTGAAGTCAAAAAATCCAGGAAAATTCTCATCAATTATTTTTTATTCATTCATTTAAACAGTAACAATCACTTTATACACAAGTCATGCCACAATTACTCTTCGTTTATTAATTAATATTGATTATTCGTCGATTAAATGAGAATGCAGACGTCACTGGAGGGGATGGAGGTCTTTAATTAATCGAAATCAATTGATGGAGATTTTTGTTAATTTCTGGAGAGGTTCGACCCACTGATGACCATGAGATTAAGACCAATGAGGTGATTAAATTAAAATAATCTAAATAAATCATTTACCTATAATGAACACTCTGTTTAAGTGATATTTATTTTCTCCCTCAATCATTTTGGCCACAATCTAACTCAATTATTTCCTGAAACACATTTTCCTGTTTTTAAAATTGTCATTTCGCTCATTTACCAATAATTTTTTGTTTTAAAATACATTAAGTTATGTTGCATTTTTATTTTGTGATTACAATTTCATGGGGAATACACTGTTGTATATTTATTTTTAGATTATAGTTTTTAGATTTCACGAGTTTGGGTCATGAAAATTAATTTCCCACTGGGAGAAGACTTTTTGGTTTCGTTTTTTTATTCGATTTGAGGAGCATTTTCTGGTGGATATCTCTGAATTTAAGGCAGATAACGATTTTTTCGATCCCAATTTTTTTGCAGAGAAGAATGAAAGCTACAAAAAAGGTGCGAACAAATTGTTTGCTATCTCTATCGTATTTTGAAATATTTTGAAATAGTTGGAACTGTTTTTAAAGGAAATAATTTTTTTTTCTTCTCATGTTCAATCAACCGATTGCGCTCATTTATTAACTTTTTTTTAATGAATAAATTAATGTTTTATATTTATGTGTAGATTACTGTTTACAAATTGCACGAATCTATGTAATGAAAATTAATTTCCAACTGAGAGAAGACATTTTTGTTTAGTTTTTTATTCAACTTGAGAATCATTTTTTGGTGAATATCTCTAAATCTGAGGGGGATAGCGAATTTTTCAGGTAGAATTTTTTTGTAGAGAAGAATGAAAGCTACAAAAAAGGTGTGAACGAATTTTTTGCTATCTATATCGAATTTTGAGATATTTTCAAAAAATTGAAACTGTTTTGAAAGGTAATACACTTTTTTCTTTGCTTTTTTTTCAATCAATCGATTGCATTCATTTATTAACTTTTCTTTAATAAATAGACTAATGTTTTATATCCATTTTCAGATTATAGTTTTTAATTGCACGAATTTGTGTCATGAAAGTGAATCCCCAACTGAAAGAAGACATTTTTTTGTTTTTTATCCAATTTGAGGATTATTTTTTGATAAATATCCCTGAATCTAAGGGAGATAGCGAATTTTTCGTCAAGAACTTTTTTGAAGAGGAGAATGAACGCTACAAAAAAGGTCCAATCGAATTTTTTGCTATGCCTATCAAATTTCGAAATATTTTCCAAAAACTGGACTATTTTTCAGGCCAAACACATTTTTTTCTTGATCAACAACTCTTGTTTCAAAAATAGATCAAGTGGCGTATTACATTATATTCACTTTGTGATTACAGTTTAAAAATTTCACAAAACTTTTTCAACTGAAAAGAAGCATTTTTAAATTTATTTTGAGGATCAGTTTTTGGTGCCTGTCTGTAAATTTAGGGAGATAACAAAATTTTTATTCTAAAAACAATTATAATGATGTCTAACGTTTATTCATCGACGAAAGATCACAAAATTATCTCATGAAAAACAATTTCCTATCGATTTCTGACTGAAACGGAGTTTTTCGCTTTTCAATTTGATTCGACCTCTGATTTTTAATGAATATCTTGGAACCTATAGGAGAAGAATTTCCCACAGTATCTTTTTTACGGAGAAAATCAAGAGCTACACAAAAGGTTGAGATGAATTTTCCCTATTCCTTGCAGATTCCAAGATATTCCCCAAAAACTGAAACTGATTTTCAATTGAAATTGACTTTTCTCATTAATTTCCTCGAAACCTATTCTCCAAGCATGAATTTCACCAATTCATCATCATTTTTCATGAAAAAAATTGATATTATGGTGTCTGAGATTGATGGAACCCCTACAATCCATAAATTTCACAAAATTATCACCCATAATTTTTCTCTAATTCGATTCTGAATACAATTTTTTTTTCTTTTTTCAACCATATTTTTCGTTTCTTTCAATTCAATGCCAAAATTTTGATCAATCCTTTGGAATGATTTTAGAATTTCCTCAAGAATTTTGAATGTGGAATGAAATCTATAAAAAAATTTTTTAAAAGTTCATCATTTTCCCCGGAATGAAAAATTAATCTCCCAATAAAGTAGACTCATCTCGTTTCACTAGTAAACATAAATAATTTTCATTTCTTATTTATCATACTTCCCAGTGTCCACATCTCCGTCAGAGTATCAGGCGACAAAAAAAAACAATGCTATCCTCAAAAAACAAGTATTCATGAATCTAAAATAGTAGCGAAGCGGTAAAAAGATTTAAGGATATCCACGCCTTTTTTACCGTTTTGTACAGACCACACTATAAATTCAGCCATTTCCAATCATCAAATTTGTCAATTGAATTGCGTAAGAAAAATTGGAAAAAATCATGAATATTCAGCGTCATTAAAATTACATTTCGCATAGAATTATTATTTTTTTAACATTCGTTGTTTATAAATAAATAATTGAAATTGTTTAAACTTTCAGAAACCTTAGTTTTTTCGGCATGAAATCGATTTCTGGTAAAATTCTGAATATGAATAAATTTGTTGCAACTCCGAACAAATAATTTTTATAGTGGAACATTGATTGTTTATAAATTATTTAGAGAAAATGCTCGTAACTTTCAAAAATTGCAATTTTTCAACGACATCAATCTTTCTCCAAAAGTAAACTTTCTCATTCTTTTCAGGTTTTTAAAATGTTTGCAAAAGTAGACAAGAATTTCAGTGGAGAAAAAATAGCCAAAGTCCACTTGGACATCGTTAAGGACAGACCACACTATAGATTCAACCATTTTCAATCATCAAATTTGTCAATTAAACAGTGTGAGAGAAATTTGGAAGAAAAAATCATAAATTATATTAAAATTATATCATTAAAATTACATTTTGCACAGAATTATTTTTTAAAACATTCGTTATCTATGAATAAATAATTAAAATTATTTACACTTTAGGGAGCCTCAGTTTTTTAGGCATGAAATCGACTTCTGGTAAAATTCTGAATACGAAATTTCTTACGATTTCGAACAAATGAATTTTATAGTGAAAAATTGATTGTTTATAAATTATTTATATAAAAAGCTCGTAATTTCCAAAAATTGCAATTTTTGAATTATTTCATAAGTCTTCCTCAAAATGTAGGCTTTCTAATTTCTTACAGATATTTAGAATGTTTTCTAACGGTTGAATATCGAGATTCAAATTCAGACCTGCAAAGTTTAAATAATAAAATCATTGTAAACTGTCCGGAAACTTAGTCTCAAATGGGGCTCAAATGAAAGCTCTGATGTTCGACAGCAAAAGTAGAGAGTAGAGCATTTCACCGGAGAAAAAATACCCAAAGTACTTGGATATCCTGAAATCGACTTAGCTCTTAGTTGAGTCTTCGAGGAATATTTTCGTAATGACCTTACATGGATGGTTATAACAACAATTTTCCTATCTGCCTTAGATTCCAAGATATTCATTGAAAACTGACCAATAGTTGACACTGACTTGAACCGTTTTACCACTTCGCTACTGAAAAACTTTGGATGAAAAAACGAGTTTTCATGTTCAAGTATTTATTCAGGATCAATAAAGACAAGTAAATGAATAAATTTTGTGAAATCAGTAGAATGCGTCACCAATAACGACTATAAAAAATACATGGAATGCATAATTAATTAGTCATATCCATCAAGCTCATTAATTCCATTTCCATAACTCCCAATAATCAATAAACCATTAAATCATAAAATGTCTATTAAACATTAGAAATTCAATGGAAATATCCCAAATTATTTAACATTCGTATAATTTTCAACTTAATTAACCCATCAATTGGGAAATTCATCACCAAATCAACGGCTCTAATTTCCAATTCCCAAACCGAAGAGAAAGATAAAATCGTATGAATTGGTTATCTCAATTCTTCAAAAATCGATAACATATTGAAATCAATCAATGAGATTGAATCCAGCGAATAATCTCCAAAAACCTCACCTCAACAAATTCTGAAATAAATTAAAAGGGTAAAGAATCTTTGTTTTATTCATTTATTTACAATACCAGTAATAATAATATTACTTAAATACTAATAAACCGCACAGTTACATCGTTGTGTCCCTCTCATCAGCCCTCAACCCTCTCTTTGTTCATATAAAAACCAACAAATGTGTTTATTTACATAAGATCGAAACATTATCCTCTAAATATCTATACAATTTCACCAAAAAAAAGAAAACGAAAGAAAAAAAATAATCCTGTGGAAATTGTTGATCAGTGATGACTCTGAAGACGTTGATTATTCACCAGTAATTAATCATAATTAATTAAATTACCTAGTCTAATTAACCAATTTACTGAATCATCCAGTTGATTTTATCGTCTCCATCATCCCCTCGTGTATAATGAATAAAATAATCAACACAGAGGGGATAAACAATGATAAATGAATAATGATAACAAATGTAATGAGTCTGCATTTCAATTTGTTTAAGTAAAAATAAATGCTGACGTGAAAATAATTTCTATCTAAATATCTTATCCACTAGATTCTGTATTATATACATTAAAAAATTTATATATAGTTTCTTCATAAGATATATTTATTTATTTAAATATTTGTGCTTCAACAGTCAGCTACTCACCCTCCAACGTCCCTTCCTGTTGCTGCTGTCTCAGCCTGTTCTCTCATCTGTTTTCGTCGTTTTTTGCTCCATAGCTCGTGACAGTCTTGCCATGTGGGTAATTCAGGTGCTGGCATTCTGAAATAAATTAAATTGATGAGAAAAAGGTTTTTTTTAAGAGTGGAGGGAATTTTTTTCTGGGTGACATACAACTCTGGCTGAACATTCCTCAGCCATGCACTCTTCAAGGCCTCGGATGCTGTGATTCGCTTGTCTGGGTCCAGTTCCAACATTTTGTCGAGTAGATCCAGGGCGAGGGATGGCATGAATGAAAAATCTTCTCGTAATCTGCGTCTGTGGGTTTTCTTGGCTTTCAGGAGGTGGAAGAGGGGGAGTTTTATCACAGATGGCCAGACTGCTGGGGTCGGGGTGCCACATACCCGGGATATCATGTCTAGTTGCTGCATTTCTGCATTACCCTGTAAGAATAATACATTTTTATCAATTCACTGAATCGATAGATCAATAATTTAAGTAATTCACCAATAAAATTCAGGGAATGATAATGGGATTAAAATCCATTTCTCAATTTTGAAACTGATAGGAAAAATATTGCAGACAATTTTTATGGGATCTTTCAATATTCAATTTCGGGTATTGAGCTCATTTGAATGTTTTCATTGAGTTCAATTGGATCCAATGGAATTTTATATTGGAGAATATTGAGAACAATAAATTTTTTTGTATTTAATCAATGGATTAATAAGTAAATTGACTCATCAATAAAATTTATGAAATAATTGGAAAAATCATATCAGTCAAGGTGATGGAAAAAATATTGCAAGTGAAATTTGAAGGATTTTACGAAATTAATCGGTCCATTTTGATTTTGTAATTGGAATTTTCAGCATTAAATTTCACATAATAGAGTTAATGACGTCTTTTTCGAATTGAATCGAATGAATTAAATTGAGATTTTTCTTTATTCACCGGAAATAGTGGTTTCTTCCAGAATAATTCTCCTAGAATGCAGCCACAACTCCAGACATCGATAGCTGGCCCATACCTCTCCTCCCCGAGGAGCAGCTCTGGGGGACGATACCACAGGGTTATGACTTTGTTTGTGTAAGGTCTCTGTCTGTCTTCAGCATTGTACAATCTGGCTAGTCCAAAATCAGCGAGTTTGACTTCTCCCCTGAAATGTCAACCAATTGAAAAAAAAATTCACTCACATAAAAAAAATGAAGCCAATAAATTGTGAATATCTGTGATTGTAAAACGGTTCCGGTACATTTTGACTATTGGTCATTTAAATTGTAAGAACATCTAATCATTAATAGATTATTGTCCAAAACATCAAGGGAAATTTTTTAGAAAAAAAAATTTTCATCTACAAAAAAATCCCTTCACACGTTCCATAGGAAAGATATTTTAAAAATTAAGAAACCAAAAATCCGAGAGGAACACTACTAAAAGAAACTCAAACTTCTCATTGTCAACAGATTTCCAAATTTCAAAAATCTAAAAGTGATTAACAAATCTACAATTTATTTGAGCGAACATCTCAAGTTTCGAATTATCTCAGTCAAAAAAATCAAGCAAAATTTCTCATCTGAAAAAAAATTGTTCCCAAGTGAAAAGTTATCTCAAGAATCAAGAATTTAAGAATAAAAAAAATCATGTTTGGGAAGAAATAAAAATGAAAGCTCAATAAATCTTATTATCGAGAAATTTCCGAATTTTTTAAATCAAAAAACGGTTAATCAACGAATCTGGAATCACAAGAATAAATTATACGATAAAGATGCTCCAAAAATTCTAAAAATGAAGAAACTACCAATTAACCCTAAGCAATTGACTGCCCATGAATCAATTATTAAATTATTCATATAAAATAAAAATTTAAGTTTAAGTTTGACATTTTTTTTTATTTTTCATTTTTTTAATAGTTTTTATTTTTTTTTCATTTCTTTATTTTCATTATTTTTATAAATCAATTATTAAATTATTTATATAATTGATTCAATTGATATAATTCAGCATGAATTGGTAAATCAATAATAATTAATCCCCCCCCCCCAAAAAAAAACCATTTCACCTCTTCCGTCACGAACTCACCTATTATTCATAAGAATATTGGAGCACTTGATATCCCTGTGCAGGAAGTTCTTGCCATGACAATAATTAAGACCATCCAAAAGCTGCTTCATGATACTCGCATTATTCATCTCATTGAAATCCACCATCCCCGACTCCAGCAGCCCCATCAAGTCATGATCCATATACTCAAAAACGAGATAAAAGCTCCCCTTATCCTTCCTGAAGTCCTTGGCATCCTGCTTATCAGTGACAATCTCCCTCAGATTGACAATATTCTTATGATTGAGCTGCCTGAGAATCTTGATCTCCCTGACAGCAGTGATGGGGAATCCCTCCTTCTCATTCTCCAACCTGACCTTCTTCAGGGCCACAAGCACCGCAGCCCTCTTATCCTGAGCCTTGTAGACCTGTCCATAGGTCCCCTCCCCGATCTGTGCGATCACCTCAAAAACATCAACACACCTCTCTCCCCAGTCCTTTCCCCCACTGGCAGACATGGGCATGTGGCAGTTTCTGGAGCTCCTCCTCTTGAGGATTTTCGGCCTCTTGAGCTTTGGTTTCGGTGCTATTCTGTCCACCTTCCCCCTGGGAGGAGTGGCATTAGGATCCTCTTCACCAGAGAAGTCCTCACCCCCGGGGATGATCCCTGGAGGCATTGGCAGGTCCTTGATTCCTTTTTTGACTCCCACCTTGACGCCCGGAGTCCCCACAGCCGCAGGCTTCACCTTCGGAGGGCTTGGAGACCTGCTTGGAGGTGAATCAATGCTCTCTAGATCATTCTGATTGATTCCAGGTGGCAGTGGTAGCTTCGACAGACTCTTCGTCTTGAATTTAATGATCGGAGTCTTCGGTGGATCCACTGACTTCAAGGGAACAAGATTGTTAGGGGTATTGAATTTTGAGATGGCATTGGTGACGAGACTGGAGGGCTGATGTGTTTGATGAGATGGAATTGGTATTCCAGGGGCTGGAGCTGTTGGTATTGCTGATGGCTCTGGGGGAGGTGTCCTCATTGGATACCCCAGGGCACCATTGTTCGGTGGTAGAGGAGGGGCTGGAGGTAGTGGTGGTGGTGTTGGCTCTGTTACTGAATTATCCACTGGCATTGGTGGGGTTTCCTGAGGGAGTTGAGGGAGAGGAGGGGTCAGACCAGCCTCGTCAGAGGGTTTAAGGGCTGGAGGTGCTGTAGGGGCTGGACCTGGTATCGTGACAAGCTCAGGCTTTCCCTCATTCACCTTTCCATTAGCTGATTTATCACTGATTTTAGCATCTGAAGAATTATTCGAGTCCCTCTCGTCGTTCCCCTCAATGATCTGCACCTCGTCCTGATTGCCAGCCTTCTCCTTAGCCTCCTGCAGCTTCTTATAAGCCAATTCCCTCATGTTCCTGTCCTTGACTAGTTCAGCGAAGAGACTTGTCTCGTTAATCTTCGCCTGTCCTCGTAGATTAATGGCTTTCAGACTCGATGGACTTCTCACTCTCGGTCTGTGAGGACCTGGTGATGGTATCGACGACCTTGAGGACTTAGGACTCTTAGATCTGTGTTTCCTCAGGGGTTTGTGGATCTTCGGGGATCGAGACTTCCTCGGGGATCTGCTTCTTCTCCTCGACCTCGATCTCGATCTTGTCAATTTTCTCCAGCTCCTGGGGCTTCTCGATCTCGATCTGGACAAGGCCAGAGGTACTCCTCGGCCTGGTGGACTCCTAGTCGACCTTGATTTCCTCTTATTGTCCCTTCGATCCTTCTCGTGATGTCTGTGACGTCTCTCGGAGTCATCCCTTCGTCGTCTCTTGCTCGGAGGTGATCCAGATGACCTGGGATCACGTCGTCTGTGCATCGTGCCTGGAGAGTATTCCCTTCGTCTGCTGGGGCTTGGAGTGTGACGCATCCTCAGCATTCCCATGGGGGAGTACTCTCTCCTCCTGGGGGAGGGCGAAGGCTCCCTTCGTCGAGGACTGGGGGAATGGGCTCGTCTCCTGGTTATGTTCGTCTCTATGGGACTCAGACTTCTTGTTGGGGATGGTGACTTCATTTGTTCTGGGGACTTTGGGAGCTCTGGGGTGAGGGGTCGCGGTGGCAACAGAGGAGTGTGAGGGGACTCGGTTCTTCTCGAGATTATGGTGCATGGAGGGGTGACGTTTCTCTCCTCACGGGGTGGAGACTCCAGGTCCATATCACTTGGGGATCTGTTGTCACGAGGGGTTGCTGGCGATATTGGCGAGGTTGAGTCCTTCAGGGGAAGGGGAGGGGACTCTGACCACGTGTCAATGGGCTTCGGAGGGTCTGGTGAGGGCACATCCTGCAGGATTCTAGGGGGTGATCTCGAAGCTCTCTTTGATTTACGTTTTTTCTTCTTTGAGGAGCTTGACGATGGGCTCAGAGATCTCTTCTTCTTCTTTTCGCGCTTGTGTTTCTTCTCTTTTCTCCTGACATAACGACGATTGTCTTCCTCGTACTCCGGGGACGGCTGGGGGGCCTCCTCCTGGGGGGAGTACTGGGCAGAGTGACGATGCATTGGTGGTGATGGCGATAGACTGATTGGTGATGCGCCGAGGGGACGAGGTGGTGAGGCATAGTATTTTGGCCGGAGGAGGGACTCCAATGGCTCACCGTCGGTGTAACTCGCACCACGGGACTCCTCAGACTGAATTTCACCCGCTTCGGGGCCTGACAAATCCTCACTGGAGACGTCCGAGTACTCGACGAGGGGCTTTACCACTGATGAGGCTACTGAGGGAATTGAGTCAAGACGATCGCGATTGTGCTTCTTCTTCTTCTTTGAGGTCTTGGATTTACCATGCTTACGGTGCTTCTTGTCGGGGAGGAGGCGGTTTAGGATGTCTGCCCCGCTTTCACGACGACGGGATTTGTATCGGCCATTACGATCCACACGGTCGAGATCGCGACTGCTAGGCATGTCACCTACTGGGAGAAATTTATGTTTAAAGTTGGGTAGACATTCGTTGATCTTTGGAGATTATAATCTGGGGTCAATTGGTATAGATACATTCTGGTTGAGGGTACGGTAGGGACGAGGCGGCGGGGCAAAGTGGACACTTGATTGATTTCAAATCTTTGATTAATAATATTTAATTTTTATATTCAATGTTTAGTTGATCATTTTTTAAGGAATCGCACATGAGCATCAGTATGAGGCACAATTTGTGTATTTCATTTTTTCAAAAGGGTATGAAGAATTTTGACAGGAGGAAATGAAGTTTAATCGAATGTGGAAAAAATTTGATTGTCATAAAATGAGTTATTTTTTATCAATTCTTTCGCGTTGATTTTAATTCTTTAATTTTAGGTAAATTGTCAATTTGGAGAGGAATCTCGGAAGAGCTTGAGTATGAGGCACAATTCGTGTATTTCATTTTTTCAAAAGGGTATGAAGAATTTTGACAGGATGAAATGAAGTTTAATCGAATGTGGAAAAAATTTGATTGTCATAAAATGAGTTATTTTTCATCAATTCTGTCGCATTGATTTTAATTCTTTAATTTTAGGTCAATTGTCAATTTGGAGAGGAATCTCGGAAGAGCTTCAGTATGAGGCACAATTCGTGTATTTCATTTTTTCAAAATCTTTGATTAATAATATTTAATTTTTATATTCAATGTTTAATTGATAATTTCTAAAGGAATCGCACATGAGCATAAGTATGAGGAACCATTCGTTCATTTCATTTTTTCAAAAGGGTATGAAGAATTTTGACAGGATGAAATGAAGTTTAATCGAATGTGGAAAAAATTTGATTGTCATAAAATGAGTTATTTTTTATCAATTCTTTCGCGTTGATTTTAATTCTTTAATTTTAGGTAAATTGTCAATTTGAGAAGAGATCTCGAAGGAGATTTACTAATTATCAATTTGTTTTTTTTATTTTGTCGAAGTTGATTGAACAAATTTGTTGCATTTCAATTCCTTAATTTTAGGTAAATTTTCAATTTGGAAAGGAATTCCATAAGAGCAAGAGTTTCCGGATTAATGCGTTCATTTCGTTTTTTCAAAAGTGTATGAAGTGTTTTGGCAGAATGAAGGGAATTTCTTTCAAACATAAAAAAGTCGATTTCCATAAAATGGATAAACATCCTTAAAATTTTCCAGTTTCTGACAAACAAATTGAAATCATTTGACGTAAAAAGACAGTGACCAGCTATTAGATTATGATTTTCTCTGGAGATAATCTGTGATGATTAAGAGATTTTTCAAATATTCATTGAACAATTCTATGAATAATTATTCCATTAACTTTAGTCGCAAACTAAAAACGAATGAATTTAGAGGAGTGTTTACTTTTTCTTTGGGATATTTCTACTTCAATTGAATTCTTTGAAAGCCAATTATTGGAGCATGATTTTACTCACTCCTACGACGGAAAATAAATAAATAAAACTGATGATTTTTCCCCGCGGAATACGAGAATAATTCTTTACTCATTTACTCAATGGGGAAATCGTCATAGTTAGACATTCAACACAACCATCGTAAAATTACTCGTTTATCTTTAGCATAAAGTGATTAAGAATTCGATGGAATTAGCATAAATTAGTTGATAAACCGTTTCAATATTTTCCTCGGATAATTCTCAGATCTTGTATTCCTTAAACCAATCACATCCAGGGTTTTGTTACGCGAATGATGAAAAACGATTTCAGACGAATCACTCCAATAACTCAAAAGCGAAAATTGAATAAGTCTGTTGGAATTGGGCGATGATAACGAGCAATAATTAATTTTCTTAAGGATATCCAAGTGCTTTGGCTATTTTTTCTTTAGTGAAATGATTTGCTACTTTTGTAGTCGAACATCAGAGCTTTCATTTGAGCTCCATTTGACCCCAAGTTTCTGGACATTTTAAAGATTTTTTGTAATACCCGACTAAAATTACAAAGTAACGAAATGCAATATATCCTTTGGATTTACACTGCAAATAAATCCGAATAGTGACGTCCATAAACATGAAAAAAATGCACTAGATCAAGAAAAATCCACATTAAAAATCACAGATATTATTTTCCAATTCCCACACGTGTTCCCCACAATAATTCCATTTTTATTACAAAAAAAAATTGAACAGAAGATATAACTAAACCGTGACAACAAGAGAAGTTATGCTCCCACAAGACGAAAAAATCATATTAAAAAAATCACTCCTCACAATTAGAAAAAAAAAATTCTCACCCCACAATCAGGCTTCCCCCCTTCCCCAAAAGATAAAAACCAAAAATTACCCCTTGATCCCGCATATGACAATGCCAACTTCTGGTTTCGTCCTCATGTAGCACAGTAACAGATACCGAGTGATACCAGTTCCCCCCGGCCCCCGAAATCCCCCCAAAAAACTCAATTTCCCTCGAAACAATCCTCGAACACTCACTCCACATATAAAAAAAAATGTTGAAAAAACCTCCACTACACAGTTAACCAGACATCACTACGTGCCAAAAACCGCACATACATGTACCCTACGCAGAAAAAAAAGCGATAAAATTTTTCACTGGAGAATATTGGCGAGGAATTTTTCCAACTGAGGACAGACCATAAAAATTCCGAGTCGACTGAATTTATTTATTCATCGAGAGCTCGAATGTCCATTGCCCACTGATAATGTCTACGTTTCAGGCTGTCCTGCGCCGCCATTGCTGTGGCACGTATACACGGGTATAAAAGGGTGTCGGCCTCCACCAATGGGTTACAAAATACCCCGTGCAAGCGATAAAAAACTCTGGGTTAATAAAATATATTTCTACTTACGTGAAACAATTGTATGAACTCACGATGCACGTGATGATACCTCGCATCGGACTCGTTGTTCAGCCAAATGATAATTTGGACTGGCTATTGTTGGGTGAATACTTTATTATTTATTTATTATTTTTTTAAATAAATAAACCGAAAATATTTCCTCCTTCGGGCAGCCTTTTAACAAGTTAAACTCCGATAATTAATGCTCGTTAAAACGATATTAATCGCGTTTATCTGTCGTTATTTTTAATGATAAATTTTCATTTTTATCAATGGTTTGATAATTCTCTTTTCATATTAACATTGTTCGAATAATCGATCGCATCATTCAGCATTTATTTTAGTGGATTAGAAATGTTGAAGGTGCTTTATCGTGCCTCGACTCCATTTCCATTTGGTCGGCAAGACGTGTGTGGAAGGAAACTAGCCGTTTTCTTCCTCTGTCCGTTTCTCCCACCATACCGACCCCTGAGAGATGAATTGCGAGTGTGACGTAATTGGACGATAGTGGCGACATCTATGGTGGGGGGATTTTCAGGGTTAGGGTGGGTTTTCATGATTGCTGAGAAATTGGCGGGAAAAATGAAAATGAGGGTGAAAAATCGATATTTCAGGGTTTTTGCTTCCGAAAACTTTTTTCCGCACTCGTAACGAAATATACTATTTCCCACGAGTATCGAACGATATTTTTCACGCTTCGCGTGCCTAAAAAGTTACTTTTTCACACAGCGTGATGAAAAGTATATTTTATTGCCATGTGACATACAATAGTTTATGGCTCTCGCTCAGCCCGGAAACCGCGATTTAACCGAGGGAATCGATGTTAGAAATGCGGTTTATTTACGGCCCTAGCGACATAAAATAATATTTTATGCCCCAGGTACCGAGAACCGCTTTCTAACCGAACAAAGTGAAGTTAAAATTCGCGATTTATCTATCCTCGGGACATAATATACTATTTCTTAAAATATTTATGTCTCCAATACTGGCGTTTTGATCCGTCGGAATGAAATAAAACATTCTAATAACCGAAAATTGCAAGTTTTTCGACGTAATATAAAAAATGGCAAAAACCCGTCGAGGTAATTTACGTAAATTACGTCGGTAAAAATCGGTGTAATTTACCAACGTAATCTACATCCAGAAAAAAAGGACAAAAATCACGTCGAAATTTCGTAGAATGAAAATCGTGACCATGTTTTTTTTTCCAATAGGGGAGTCGGGGGGTTGGGGTAAAACGGACACTTTTGACTTTTTTAAAAATGTTAATGCGGGGTTGAAATGTTGATAAAATTTAATAATTTTTTTTTTCAATACAAAGAAGAACTCTTTCCCTTTGTGACGAGCCTAAACCTAGCTCAGTTAATAAATTTGTTTCTGAATTATGAATAATTGAAAAAAAGTCAAAAGTGTCCATTTTACCCCACCCTCCGCTAAAATAATTCCGGAGTGAGATATGCCGTGTCAATGGTTTTCCACAGTTAAATTTTGAAGAAATCACCCCCTAATTTATTTATTTACATATTCAGCCACCATCACGATTAGATTTCGTCACCCCCGAAAAATTGAGATTTGAAATTTTCTCATTGCTCAATTTCTTCATCAACTATCTCTTCTCTGTTGAAGATTTTTGTCTGCAAAATTCAGGGTCATTCCAAACGGTGTAATTTACCAACGTAATTTACCCGTCCAGCCCTGTGTGGGGACGACAAGATTTTCGACAAAACTGAAATCTTGCTTGAAAAAAGTTGCCAACTTGACCGAAGTACTTGGATATCCTTAAGGCCCAGATATACCGCGCATGCGCCCATCCCCGGCCCCTCCGCGGCGCTCATTTCAAATTCGATTTTTCCGTCACAGAAGAGTGATAACCCACATCACTCCACATTCACCCCATTATAACCACATCGTCGCTGTTCTTTCCTCTCCCCCATAAAATCAATGTCCATTAGAGTGAATGACCAATACACATGTGCCCATTACGTGAAAACGTTAACCTATGCCTCACAAAATATAAAAATAAATGAATGAACAAACCAATGAATTGGTGTGCAACGCGAATTTTCCGAAGAATAAATGAAGTAATGTGAAAAAAACAAAAATGAAACTAAGAAGACTGCCCCTTACAGCGCGGATATCGAGTCGAGTTACCGTGGCATTGACCCAGTTAATTTTACCCCGCGATGCAGTAATAGCCTTTCCGTGTCAACCCAGAAAAGCTCGCAGCAGTGGTCGTGCAACGATGAGGAGAAATGGATCAGCATGAGAGGGATTTGATTGAAGAAATGAGGGAAAAGAGAATTCTCCATTGGAATTTTCGGGGTATAACGAATCTTCCGATTGCGTTGAGAGACTGGGGAAGTGAAGTTGAGGAGTTGTACTTGAAGGAGAATCAGATAACTGTGATACCTAGTTGGATTTATCAATTGACAAATTTAACGAATTTGTATTTGTCTGGGAATAAGTTGAAACATTTGCCTGAGGAGTTTGGGATAATGGGACGATTGAAAGTCCTGGACTTGAGTGATAATGACTTGAGGATTGTCCCTGAGGGGGTGACGAGATTGAAGACTCTGAGGGAATTGATTCTTGATGACAATTCGTTGAGTCAACTGCCTTTAGGTGAATATTAATTAATCAGTGGTGAGGTGGTTATAGGAGTTTGTGGATTATTCTGCTGATATCTCCGGAATGAAGAGGGCTTGAGGAATTTATTATAAGACATTTTTTGTAGGGAATTTTATGAACTACAAAAAAGATCTTATGACATTTTCTCCTAGAACCAATATTTTCTGAGATTATTTGACAATTAATGAGTGGAAATGATTCGAGTCAAATCAGTCAAATATTACATCTTTTTTAATTATGCTGTTAACTAAGATCTGAGGCGTTTTGCGAAAAAATGTCAGAGGACATTTTTATAGAGAATTTCGTAGGCTACAAACAAGTTTTTCTGACTTTTTTGTTTACACCCACTGGTTCCAGAGATATTTGCAAAATCATAGGAATATTGAATAATAAACTTGAGATTTCTGCAGATATCGAGAATTTCGACGAGTTGGAGAAACTCTCGTTGTGTGGGAATAATTTTGTTACCCTCCCAGAGTGGCTGGGGTCATTGAACAAACTTCAGAATTTGTTGGTAGATAATAATTGCCTGGAGGAATTACCGAATCGTTTGACGCTGGCTCCGTCACTCGAACTCGTTTCTGTTTGTTCAAACAGGTGAGTAATTCCGTATGAGGTATTCCCCGCTAAATGAAATTGATGACGATTTTTTCTACGATGGGGGAGGGGGCTGCGGAAAGATCTCTCAATTTTTTTTAGATTTTTTCGGCAGTCCAGTTTGGAGATGTGATTTTTTTCTCGTTTTTCCGTTTTTTTTCAATAACTCGAGTTCTATCCATTCGATTTTAATTTATTAAGCGTCAAAATTTTTTGTTTTTTACTACCTATAAGAATATTTTTAGTAAATTTTTTTTTCGATCTTTAGATGCTCATAATAACAACTTTTCGAGAAAAAAAGTTGAAAAAGTGGAATTTTGCGAAACATGTCACTTTTGATTCGTTTTATTTTTTTTTCAGTATTTCTTATAATCGAAACAAGTATTTTGAGCCATCATACAAGTTAGGGACCCTCATGGATCGATTTTATTTTCAATTTTTTCAATTTTTTTTTTGAATTTGACTATATACCTATATATTACATATTTTTTCGATACACAATGGACGTCATTTTAGAGTATTTTGATCAAATTGCGAAATTTTGAAGAGAAAAAATTAAAAATAAAACAGATCCGGGAGGATGCTCAACTTGAATGACGACTCAAAATACTTGTTTTGCATTACTGAAAAGAAATGAAACAAATCAAAAGTGACGTAATTTGTGAAAATACAACTTTTTCAACTGTTTTTTAGAAAATTCGTTATTATGAGCATCCAGGAATCGAAAAAAAAATTACAGGAGATCACAGACGGCAAAAAATGGAAAATTTTCCAAATTTTTTCATCGATTATTTTGGAAATAGCTTCGAAAGGAGTGAGTTTAGAGAGAAGCATCACAGGACTAGTTTTTGAGATATTGAGGAAAAACGGTATTTAAACAAGTTGTAATACCTCAGGAACTGCTGGACCGATCTGGCCGAAACAGCGCGCAAAGTTGAGCTCAATAATAGCTACAGTGAGCCCAAAATTTTAGATTTTTATCTACCAATTTCACCGTTTTTGTGTTGAATTTTCTAAAAATTTATCACCAAAAATCCAAGTCATCGGATTCATACATCCAGACATGACCCTAAAAACATCATTTCTTCACGTTTAAGGGTGCCAAGTGAATTTGGCGATGACCTTGAAAATTGACATTCACCAACAAAGTTATAATTTTTTAAATTAATAGTATTAGACAGATGGTGAACATCGGTGACAATTTTAAAATTTTAGAACTTATGGATATCGAGGAATTAAATAAACAAAATCAGTCTTATACACGGCCTCTTATGGAGTTTTGATTAAATTGAACGTTTCAACCCCCTAGGAACTCAAGAAAAATTTGAAAAAATTTGAAGATATGGGGAATGATGTGTTCAATGTGATGGCGACAAAAAACAATGGGGTACCGGGGTGAATAAGAGAGATATTTCAACCCGCCGTACCCATTTGATCCCATGCTTTCTCGAGGTTCGTCACGCGAAATAGAGGATTTTCCGCATTTATTTTCTCAATGTCTAGTTCCGGTTGCGGGTTTGAAATTTCGTCGGATGGATGAATAGATATTTCTCCAATGATGGAGGGAAAGAAAAAATTTGTTTTGAATCTTTTTTCAAATTCACTTGGCACCCTTAACATTCTAGGCCATTTCCAATCAAAATTAGAAAATCGAAAAATCGGTCAAAAACACGACTTCCATGCGGAAGCAAACAACATGAAATGTGCCTATTTGCTGTCGACTAATTGATCAAATTTTGATCTTTCAGATTGAAACACTTACCCCTGAACTCCTTCATGTCTCCCACGATGATCTACTTCAATTGCAATCCAAACATGAACTACATCAGCTACCCCCTTCTCTGTCAATTCCTGGAGATGGGATGGGACGATGGGAAAAGTTGTTTTTCCGCGAATTTGTTAGTAAGACTCGATCAGAATCGCTCCCAGTTACTAAAGTCCTCATGTCTTCTTTCAGAAATGTCACGGAGATGAGGCCCAATCATAGAATTCGACTACACGTCGATTTGAGTTCAGAGAAGGAGAACTCCAATGGGACTGCAATCGTTAGATTACCAAGACAATTAATCAGAGTCTTTAGTGTGGAGAATAAAGAGCCAGTGTCGTTGTGGGAATTGTCGTTGAGAACATTGTTCGAAAATAAGTGAGTAATGATGTGAAAATATTAATTAGAGATGGACGGGGGGGGGGGCGTTGGGGGGACTTGTTAAACACAAGAACGTTTAGGTTGGAGGGTCACACAATCCTCAATAACGTTCAAGGTTAAGGGTCATATGGGTCAAATGGCTCAACTCTAAATGCTCTCAAGGGTCATTTGACCCTCAATACCATTTTAGTTCCAGTTAAGAGCAAAAAAAAGTTTTGCCATTTATTCCTAGACACAAAAACGAATGCAAAATTGAATGCACCAATTAATACTTTTTTTTCTTTATTTTTTTCCGTCTCCAAAGTTATGAAATCTATCTCAACAGCTCGATCTGCCCTGAACCCGCCATCTTCCACAATGTGTTATTCAACGGTCCAATAAGCATCTGCTTAAGCAATCAGTGCCACCAGCCAATCTTCACAGAAGCCTGGGTGACTGTCGGCACCAGTGAGGAGGTGGCCCTCCTCATAGTTCTCCTCTTCTGCTCTCAAAAGTGCGCCCAAACCTTCGACTTTGTCTCACATGGGATCAAAGTCCTCACCTGGCGTTGTTAATTAAGATCAAATAAAATGAGAAAATTATCCTCGTTGACATAAACTGATGTATTCCAGAAATCAAGAGAAATTATATTTTCTTAGAGAATATTTTCATTAATTTAAGAACAAAACAAATTGTTATAAATGTCTAGATCGTTGATTTTTAGATGTTTAGGAATTTATTTATATACAAGATTGTCACCAAAATGTACAAATGCAAAGCGATGTTATCGTATTAGCCTTTGAGACTAATCAACTTATGTATTTATTGAAATTGTTGAGGAAATCATTGTCCTTCCATGTTCAAGCGAATTCAATAAATTATAGCAAACTCGATAGAACGATGTTTATCTCTTTCATTTTTGTTCGAAAATTATCTTTCTTGCAGTTTCTTTTCTAGTGGAATATCTTGGAAAGATAATTGTAACGATTGAAGGACAAATTAATTTTATTGAATTATAAAAAATATATTCTTTTCTAGTTTTTTTAGTTCCATTTTTGAAGAAAAAATTGGGAGGGGGAGATTTTAAGCGAATATGTTGGATGGGGTTTACAAAAGAATGTCGAAGTAAATTTTTTTATATAAATTTTGTCAGCTGCAAATCATGATATTTGACATTTTCCTTAATTCTCTTGGTTTGGGAGACATTTTGCAAAATAAAGTTCTCATTTTTCAGAACTTCCAATCAAAAACATTTCGTTTTTCTTACACATCTGCTAAAAGAAAAAAATTATAGAATATTGAAAACGACAACATCCTCACCATTCTCCTCTGAGTTTTATAGTAGCAGATGTGTTTCGAGAATAATTCAAACTTCTGAATTTTTAATGAAAACATTTTGCATTATTTTGACAATATCTATTGAAGGAAGAGATTGATCAAAATATGTCAGAACACAATTTTTGTATAAAATCTTGTACAAAAAATGTTTTCTGACATTTTTCCTTCATTTTCTTGATTTCAGAGATATTTTGCAAAATAAAATACACATTTTTTTCAGGATTTCCAATTGAGAACATTTCATTTTTTCAAAAAAATCTAACTAAACAGATTTATAGAAAAATATTGAAGACATTTTTTGTTAGAAATTTTCGAAGAAGTAAGAAAATATACAGTAGCAGATATATTTCCAGAACTGTTCAAACTTTTTTTAAATTTTTAATGAAAACCTTTTTCTTTATTTCGAAAGTATCTCCTAAAGGAAGAGATTGATCAACAAATATGAAAACATATTTTTTGTTGGAAATCTCAACTACAAAGCATTATCTTCTAACATTTTTCTTCAATTTTCTTCGTTTCAGAAATATTTTGCAAAATAAACTACAATTTTTTAGGACTTGCAATTAAAAACATTTTGTTTTTAATTGCAATTAAGCCGTACAAATTATCTTGGGATACCCTGTATTTCCAGAATAATTCAAGCTTCTTCTCCAGAATTTTCAATGAAAACATTTTGCATTATTGCGAAAATCGCTCATGAAGGAATGAAAAAAAAGGCGAGACATATTGTGTTGGAAATGTCATCTCCAAAAAAAACATCAACATTCTCCTCCACCCCACCAGATCCAGAAATATTCACAGACTAAAATCCCCTCCCACAGAAATTCCTCAATTACCAGCGCACAAAAATAATAAAATCACTCCCTCTTTCAATTACTTCACCTCGTCGCCTATAATTTATTATTTATAATATATAAAAATGAGTTACGCACAGAGAAAATCGAGAGCTTTATCCCTGTCAATGTCGCATTTGACTAGAGCCTTGGAGGCCTCGTCCTCAGGGAAGCCAAGGTCCTTCAACGTGCAGAGGTCCTCGTGGTATTTCTTAGCCTTCTCAGGATCATGCTGAGCCACATCCATGGCCTTCTCCGCCTCATCCCCCGGCATTCCCGATTCTTCGAGAGACTGAACAGCTAGGAGATACTCAACGACTCTCTTGTTGTCTGTGCTTCCTAGATTTCTGATAGCTCTTGCCGACCTGGGTAGAGGAAAACCCATGTCACTGAGGTGTTTAGCTAGCTTCTGATCGTGCTCGGATAGTTCTGGGAGGGGATTGGACAGAGTCAAGGGACTCGGGGCAGTCAGGGGTGATTTTTTCGCCTCTGGAGTCGTCTCGGGGTCTGGGCTTTCCAAGTCTGGCCATGGCTTCCAGTTCTATTGGGAGAAATAAAACGAGATGTGATGTCATTGAAACAGCGCAATAAAGTTGAGCTCAATAATAGCTACCACGAGACAAACTTTCCGATTTTTATCTACAAATTCTACCGTATTTATGTTAAATTTTCGAAAAATTAATCACCAAAAACCCAAGTTGTCGGATACATAATACAGACATGACCCTAAAAACATGATTTCTCCACGTTCATAACATTCTAGACTATTTGCAATCAAAATTAGAAAATAAAAAAAAATCGGTCACAAAAACAAGGCTTTCATTCGGAAGCAAAAATAAAAATGAATTGAAAATCTTCAACTCACATCGACGCAGGGTCTGTCCTGCAGAGTCCTCTGCAGTTCCTCCACAATAATTGAAATATTTCTACACTTATCATCCCCCTGTATCCTCTCATTATTATCAGCCTTATCCTCCTCATCCTTCTTCTCCTCTGGACTCTCCTCAATACTTAACTCCTTCAAAATGCTCTCGATCTTGGGTGCAGGTGTCCACTGGGTGTTGGACTGCAGCACTTGCGCCAGTTCCTCCATCTCATTGATGGTCTTGAGCTCAACGTTATCAAAGGGACTGCTCGTATCGTTATAAAAGTCCTCGTAATTAAGCCTATTATATTTAACGTTAATGTCGATGTTATGTAGATCACTGTGGGGTGGGGATAAAGGCTGAGGCGTGAGAATTGTTGCCTCTGGTGCTGGTGCCACTTTAACTGGCAGTGGAATCATAGTGTCTTCTGGAGACGGTGGAGATGGCGTTGACGATTCAAGCTCTCGTTTTTTTCTCCTCTCGAGACGTGCCTTTCGGGCCTCGGCATTTGCTAGTCTAGCTTTACGCCATTCTGTCACCTAAAATCATTGAATAAATGTTGAGAGCATGAAATGAAGAAATTAAATGATGAGAATTAAATAATTCTCAAGGGAATGAACATATTTTACGAGGAAAAATCTTCAGCCAGAGTTGTATGTTCCCTAAAAAAAATCCTTCCACACCTGAAACAAAAACTCTCTTCTCGACAATTTAATTTACTCCAGAATGCTGGCACCTGAATTACCCATATTTTTTTCTATCACCTTCATAATTGAGAAATGGATTTTTGAATAAAATAAATACCTAATTTTGGAATTAGTTTCATTATTGACATTTAATAAATTTGAAAAAAGGAATAAATTTTTTTATGAGAAGAGAAAATTACACAATAATAACTAGAGATAAATGAATATAGGAGGAATTACCTTCTCCAGAACAGATCTCTCCAAGTTGAAATCATAAGTATATTTCGAAATGGATTTTAGAATAAAATAAATACCTAATTTTGGAATTAGTTTCATTATTGACATTTAATAAATTTGAAAAAAGGAATAAATTTTTTTATGAGAAGAGAAAATTACACAATAATAACTAGAGATAAATGAATATAGGAGGAATTACCTTCTCCAGAACAGATCTCTCCAAGTTGAAATCATAAGTATATTTCGAAATATCAGGAAACTTGTTATTATAAGCAGCAGGCAGTCCGAATTTTCTCGGTGGCTTGTAGGCCTCAGCGATCTTCACGTTGACTCCATCCATGCATGAAGCCACCTGGTCACACTGGGATGATGACTTCGCCATTATCCTTATCCTCCTCTGTAAAAAAACAAAAATGAGAAAAATTCATAACTAAATGGGGGAAATTGACTAAGAAGGAACTTTTAAATAATCAATATCTCCTGATCGAATGATACGATTTGAATAAATCAGGTCTCATTTTCAAGCTTACAAAAAATTTTAAAATAAAAACAGTGGATTTTATTTGGTCGATCTCCAGTTATTGATGATTTAAAAAGGTTCGTTTCATCCTACTCTCCTCTAATAAAACAAGTAACAAATGAATTAAAAAAATAGAATAAAATGTTATAATAAATAACAAAGAGTAGGTATTACTCATTAATATTAGTGATGAATACAATAACGACGAGAAAACGAATGGAAGAATTAGCGAGTAAATAAACAAAAAGAATTCAATAAAATAGAAGTAACCAATTAAATGTGATAATAATGAATGCTTCATGTATTTTAGTTCTGTCTTGGGAAAAAATTGATTTTTATTTATTCATTATTTCTTCAAACCTGCGAAGTCTACCAATTTAACGAAGAATAATGGACATTTTTTGTTAGAATTTATGGAAACATAGACAGTAAAAAATGATTAAAGAACAATTAATAATTGTCCTATGGATTTATGAAACTTAACCTCAATTATCTTCTAAGAGATTCATATTTATTCTGTGAGAGATGAAAAATATTTCGCTGAGGAAGAATTTTTGATAGAAACTGGAGTGATTCAAAATAACTATATTCGAGTTTTTTCATTTTTGTCTCGGGAGATTCTCTTACCACAAAAAATTAACAAATTGATTTTTATTTATTCATCAGCTTTCCTCAAGCCTACGAAGTCTGACGATTTGGCGAAGAATAATAGATATTCTTTGTTAGAATCTATTAAAAATGTGCATTGAAAAATTAAATTGAATTAAATTAAAGAATTAATAACTGTTCCGGGGATTTATGAAACTTAACCTCAACTATCTTCTGAATGATTCCTGTTTACCTCGTGAGACGAAAAATATTTTATTGATAACGAATTTTTGACGGCAACTTGAGTCATTAAAAATAATAAACTTCAAATTTTTCTAATGTTGGACATCATTGAGTGATCTATGGAGATATTACTGATGACTCACTTTTTTCGTTCGGAGGTTGAATGGGGTATGTTACACTGGAGAAATCATTGGACACTATTTTTATTTAGTTATCACCGCGATGATTTAACAGTAATTGGGGTCTAAACATTTCGACATTCATGAGCTCGGGATTTTTTGACAGGAGAGTATCAGCTCGTCACGTTGGTCGCGGCCATGTTTAAAAGGCAAGGCTGTTGACTGACAATAAGATAAAGTGATAGCGGAGCGATAGGGGCGTGGGGGTGGAGCGGCGGGGGATCTAGGATTTTATTTATCTATGCAATGGATATTTTATGACTTTTTGCTTCTCCATGGAAGCATTGTAATCGCTTGAGGGTGCCAAGCGAATTTGAAAAAAGATTCAAAAAAAATTTTTTCTTTCCCTCCATCATTGGAGAATATGTATTCATNTTTTTCAAATTTTTCTTGAGTTCCTAGGGGGTTGAAACGTTCAATTTAATCAAAACTCCATGAGAGGCCGTGTATAAGACTGATTTTGTTTATTTAATTCCTCGATATCCATAAGTTCTAAAATTTTAAAATTGTCACCGATGTTCACCATCTGTCTACATTTGTTGGTGAATGTCAATTTTCAAGGTCATCGCCAAATTCACTTGGCACCCTTAATTTTAATTTTTGGATTTTTTGTGTTCTATCGACCCATTATAATCCAAAAAGTCCGAAAATGCAATTTTTAGACCATGTCCGTGCGTAGGGGCGGCTGGGGTAAAATGAACACATTTGACTTTTTTTAAACATGTTAATAACAGGTTGAAATGTCGATAGAACTCAACAAATTTTTCTCTAATGCAAAGAACAATTCTTTCCCTTTGTAATGAGACTGAGCTGAGCTCAATTGATAAATTTGTTCATGAGTTATGAGTAATTGAAAAAAAAGTCTAGTGTCCGTTTTACCCCACCCGCCCCTGTATGTGTGTGGTACAATTTTTTTCAATTGTTCGCTAATGAATGAATGAAATTAAATTTTCATCACGCTGTGCGAAAAAGTAACTTTCTAGGCACGCTTCGCGTGCCTAAAACGTCCCTTTTCCGCACATTGTGATGAAAAATATCGTTCGATACTCGTGGGAAAAGTGTTTTTTGGCTCGTGGGAGGTATATAATCCCACGAGCTAAAAAACATTTTTTCACGAGTTACGAACAAGTATATTTCGTTACGAGTGCGGAAAAGAGTTTTTTGACTCGTGGGAGGTTTATATCACGAGCCGAAGGTTCGTGATATAATCCCACGAGCTAAAAAACATTTTTTCACGACTTCCGAACAATATTTTTCATCACAATGTGACGGAAATTGGACTTTTCGCCACACGGAGCGTGCCGAAAAATTCACTTTTCGTCACAGCGTGATGAAAAACACTTTTCCGCACTCGTAACGAAATACACTATTTCATCACGCTGTGTGAAAAAGTAACTTTTTAGGCACGCTAAACCTAGCTCAATTGATAAATTTGTTTCTGAGTTATGAATAATTGAAAAAAAGTCGAAAGTGTCCATTTTACCCCGCCCTCCCCTATAAACCAAAAATACCACCGAATTTTGGAGACTCTAATCGGATCAGATCATCGGGAAAATCGATCGGCTCTATGATGTCACCGAATAGTGTCAGTGAAAAATATTGATAGAATCAATGAAAAATTATTGATAAAATGAAAGTCGATTGATAAAAACGAGAAACACAACGATGATAAAATATAACGTGCGTAAAATATTTATCACTGTGTATAATTTTCTCAATTTATATTCAAAAAACTGGAAAAAAGTTGGAAATTATTTTCCGCGCCCCTCCATCCAAAAGACATATTTATGTAGCGGAACATGAGTCACCGTTGGCATAACCTGTGAAGTATCAGTACTCCGTTGTGTCACATGATGAAAATTATCGCAATTATCAAGATGATTACGTGATAATGCTAGCGGAAATGATGGGGGAGAGTAATGACTAATTTTTCAATCTCATCTGTAGTCTAATGAATTTTGAGGATTTATGTTGACTATTGGGTTATTTTGTGAGCATCATGGAACAGCTGGCGACCAATGATGACAGTAGAAGAGGTAAACAAGCGGTCATTATCATTAATTAATGTGTGATCACCTTCGTTTTATCATATTTATTCCACAGTTTATTCATTTAGTAGGGGAGATTGGGGTAAAACGGACACTTTTGACTTTTTTTGAAATATTTATGACGTGTTGAATTGTTCATGAAATGGAAGAATTTTATTTTTCAATTGAAAAACAATGATTCCTCTTTGTGATGAGCTTGGACAGAGTTCAATTGATAAATCTGTTTCTGACTTACGAATATTTTTTAAAAAGTCAAAAATGTCCATTTTACCCTACCCTCCCCTGCAAAGAACAATTTTTTCCCTTTGTGACGAGCCTAAATTGACCTCAATTGATCAATTTGTTTCTGAGTTATGAATAATTTAAAAAAAGTCTAGTGTCCGTTTTACCCCACCCTCCCCTATTACTATTTTCCAATTTTCTGTTCTTTTCGATCTTCAAATTTTCTCTGGAAATGTAGTAGAATGTCATGAAACGTGTGTGAGATTTAATTCTTTTTCTTGTTCCTTAATGCAGTAGCGAAGCTGTAAAACCGTTCATGTCAATTTTGACTACTGGTCAGTTGTCAACGAATATCTCGGAAATTAAGACAGCTAGGAAAATTCTCCTCATGACCTTTTTTGTAGCTCTCAATTCGCTCTACAAAAAAGGTCATTACGAAAATTTCGCTGTCTCCCTTAGATTCGGAGATATTCGTCGAAAATTCAGCCAAGAGCTGAATCGTTTTACCCCTCCGCTACTGATTTCCCATCTCTTCTCTTTATTTTCCAGGAAATTCCCCATTGCAAATGACGGATTGTGGAGTCTACGCATACCTGTCTTTATGCAGCATCTCCCTGGGGGAGTTGTTTCCAGGGGATTGCAATGCTGAGTTCAACGAGACATACATGAAATCCTTGTGCAGATATTTTCGTGTTAAGGAGGCCCAGGAGAGTGTTATGATGATTTTACTGAGGGGCGACTCTGGTCAGACAACTGAGCCATACGTACCGTTGTTGCTCGGTGAGCCCGGTATTGATGGCCGAGGGATCCTGGTGATCCAGTTAACTGTTTTCATTGCTGTTCAGAGTGGTGAGTTCATGAACGAAAGGCCTCGGGGATGAACAGTGTTGCGAGGAGAATGAGGGTCTCATTGAAAATTCACCATCATGCCTCGTAATTTCATGTTAAATTAGAAAAAAAAACACTCTTCGTTGGGAAACTTCAAATGATTTGTCCTCACTCTACTCAATAATAACTGTACATCCCATTCTGAAAGCAGTTTCCACTTTCAAAGATGAAAATGAATGTTTTTGATGCTCTATATTGCCAGGAATTGCATCAGGTAATTATCGAATTCCGAGTAGAATAGAACCTCATCACCGAATGCTACAGTAGAGTAGACAATCATCCTCTATCCACACTAGCACACATTTACGTAGAAAAAAATTGGATATGAAAACCCAGCGAATTCGGTAGAAAATTGAACTATTTTCGATAAAAAATCCTCAGCTCAAACTTTCCAAGTTTTTTCTTCTTGATAATTTGAGTGGAGGAATTCCTGTAGAAAATAGTTTGTACTGGAGATTTTCTTTTCAATCGAAGCGACCGAAAACTAGTGGAATTTTCACCAGAAATTCCACAGTATTTTTTCCCAAATTCGCTACATTTTGCTGTGAAATTTTTTCCTGGAAATCTCCATCAAACGACTGCTTCCAGGCGAATATGATGCCCGACAGCGAGTGCTAGTGAGAAAGCTTGCTGACACGTTTGCTGTGCCGTTCGATCTGGTTGAACTCTACGAGCACTCGCTGGTGTCGATGCTCAATGACGAAGAGCCCTCGCAAACAGAGTGAGAACTCCTAAAACAAATAAAATCCCTCCGAACGATAACATATTTTTCATCACGCTGTGACGAAAAGTGAACTTTTCGGCAGGCTCCGCGTGCCTAAAAGTCCAATTTCTGCCACATTGTGATGAAAAATATTTTGCATCACGCTGTGCGAAAAAGTAACTTTTTAGGCACGCTTCGCGTGCCTAAAACGTCCCTTTTCCGCACATTGTGATGAAAAATATCGTTCGAGACTCATGGGAAAAGTGTTTTTTGGCTCGTGGGATTATATCACTCGCCTTCGGCTCGTGCTATAAGCCTCCCACGAGTCAAAAAACTTTTCCGCACTCGTAACGAAATATACTAGTTCGTAACTCGTGAAAAAATGTTTTTTAGCTCGTGGGATGATATCACTCGCCTTCGGCTCGTGATATAAACCTCCCACTCGCCAAAAAACACTTTTTTGCACTCGTTACGAAATATACTATTTCATCACGCTGTGACGAAAAGTGAACTTTTCGGCACGCTCCGCGTGCCTAAAAGTCCAATTTCCGCCACATTGTGATGAAAAATATTGTTCGTAACTCGTGAAAAAATGTTTTTTAGCTCGTGGGATTATATCACGAGCCGAAGGCGAGTGGCAAAACCTCCCACTCGCCAAAAAACAGTTTTTTGCACTCGGTACGAAATATACTATTTCATCACGCTGTGACGAAAAGTGAACTTTTCGGCACGCTCCGTGTGCCTAAAAGTCCAATTTCCGCCACATTGTGATGAAAAATATTTTGCATCACGCTGTGCGAAAAAGTAACTTTTTAGGCACGCTTCGCGTGCCTAAAACGTCCCTTTTCCGCACATTGTGATGAAAAATATCGTTCGAGACTCATGGGAAAAGTGTTTTTTGGCTCGTGGGATTATATCACTCGCCTTCGGCTCGTGCTATAAGCCTCGCACGAGTCAAAAAACTCTTTTCCGCACTCGTAACGAAATATACTAGTTCGTAACTCGTGAAAAAATGTTTTTT